TCGATGCGCAGAGTCCGCTTCAACTAAACTCCAACATCCCCTCTGATGTAACAGGACGCCAACGTCACACAGATGAAACCTGTCAGCTTTCCACAAACTCTTATTTTAGTAATAAACTATAAAAAGACAAACACTTGTTTTTCCTTGGTCATTTCATTGCTTTTAATTTCTGGACAGAGTTATTCTTCTGGTCAGTGAAATGTTTCATATTGTAGAACCGGTTGCACCAGCTCAGTCTGGTCATCGGCGTCACTCTTATGGAGATTAATACAAATAAAATCAGTTGACTCAAACAGGGCTGTTAAAGAATTTGCTAAATTACAAGCTAAGCCATCTTAAATATTAAGATGGACAAGGTGGAGATCATGATGAATGAATGCCACAACATGCAGGTGCATTATGCACAATATGGACACATTAAATACATGATGGTGTACAAGAGATACAACTAAAGCACACAAGGCACTTGATTTACCCATGAGGTAGACTAAACGCTCAAGTGAACCAGTTAAAGTCTAGAAAACATTAAGAAAGTCTTTGATGGAGTTCGTTGCAAACAACCTGACTGGAAGCCGTGCAGTGTCCCAGCTCAGGTTTGATGCAGTTCAAGGTGCATTGGAAGAAAAACAAAAACTAGCAGCCAAACTTCTGAAGAAACCACAAAGCTTGGTTTAAAAATATACCACCATTTTATTAAAAACTCTAAAATAAAGTGCAAGTAAAATCTCCTCTGAAGTAGAAAAGTTCCTCAAGGATTGTTGAGCACAGCGGCCGCCATGTTCTTGATGATGGGCGTCTTCAGCTGAGGGATGAGGCTGATCTTCATCAGTCTGCTGCTCGAGTACTTGTTCTTTATAGCCTGCAGAGGAAACGGAGGGTTTCATTTCTGCTCAACACAAAGTCACAAAAAGGTTCCCGAGTCTTCTGTCGATAACTCACCTGGAACTTTGTCTTCCCGTCGTTCACCAGCAAGACGTTCTTGGCGATGTGCTGCATGATGGGCTTCAGGTGGGCCTCGTCGTAAGTAGAGTAGTGCTGCTGTGTTTGAGACTGACAGGAGGAGACAGTTCAACTCTGCTGAAGAAGCTGTAAACGAGGCAGATTTACATTCTTTAAACCAGCCGGTTGAATCCGGTCAAACTCACCCACGGCAGCCCGTCGAGCAGCAGCTGGGAGAGACAAAGGGAGGCAGCGGCGATCTCAGAGGGCCGATAGTGAACCATGTGGTAGTCGATGAGGGTCAACTCCATCAGGTACTTGGCCAGAGTGTGTCTCTCTACATCAGACTGAGGAAAACATCCTGATGAGCTCAACATTTATCACAACACTGTCTAATCTGCTGACAGTCTCCAGAGTTTTCCACCGTTGTTAATAGAATGATAAGGCTCAACACAACTCATCCCTACATGAAGGCAAACTCACACTAGCCACTTTTGAAGCCCGTCTGAGGAAGTGTAACGGAAGAGGACGTCCGAGCTCAAAGTTGAGCGTCCTCAGAACCACCTGCTCCATCTCCAGAATCTGAGACTTGGTGAACGCGTTGTCTGTGATGTAGGCGAAGTCTCCGACCTCCGGCGCGTACATCTCCTCGTATTTACAGGCCACCAGCATGGCCGTCACGCCGACGAGCTGCAGCTTCCTGCGAGAGACCGGCTGGACCTGCAGCACAGAGGATGGGGTTTGAACTCAGCCCACAAACACGGAGAGAACACGAGCTCCGAGAGACGGTTCCTACCTGGAGGAAACGATCCAGGACGGCAACTGTGAGGTACAGAGTCTCCTGCAGCAGCTGGAACCTGGAGTGAACCTGGACCAGCCAGTCGATCAGCAGAGCTCGCATGCGCTCGGTGATCTCATAACCCTGCATGTAGTTGGCTCGTACGGCCTGCTGCACCTGTGGAGACAGAGCGATGAATACCAGACAGTGCAGGGAGAGAGCAGAGAGTCCGACTGACGGAGGGATCCAACTACCTCCAGGACGTGGAGGTAACTGTAGATATCTTTCACATATTGCGAGCAGAGCTGCGGCAGGTCGGCGTCCTGCTCGTCCACGTCCTCCACGGTGAGCAGCGCCTCGGAGAAAGCCTGGCACAGTTCCTCTTCCTCCTTCATGGACACGTCAGCAGACTCCTCTGAGACCGGGGGGAGAGGATCTGCAGGAGCTTGAACCCGGACTACTGGACGCACCACCTGGACCGCAGCGGGCGCAGCTTTTAGGGCACAGGACGGTTTGGCCGACGCTTTGGCTCGTCCCGTCCTCTGAGGGAACAAAGTTTTAATCAGAAATAAAGTTTTAAGAGTTTTGGGCTGTAAAGCTGTTAGATTGAGAATTCAGTCCAAATTAAACATTAATGTCTCTAAATGAGAAACTGTCTGATCACAAGGCGACTGCACTGGGATCATTTGGTACTTCATAGAATAACTTTAAATAACCATTAACAGCCAAAATGAGCTGTTTTCTTACAGGTACAAGCTTATATTCACCTTTATTGAACATAGTGGAAAGATTTTATTGCATTTTGTTCTTTGCTCTACATTCCCTGTTCCAAATCTGAGTTTCCCCTCCAGGGATCAATAAAGGAACATCTTAGGCCAGAGGACTGTGGCTCTGTAGATCAGTGTGTCCATATACTTTAAGCTCATCCTACAGTTTGTGTCTCAGTGTCTTTAGTTACTTTGAGCTTCACATCGTTAATGAGAGTGAGCCCAACCCCAGCAGCTGTACTGTGGGTCCGTAATGTTACCTTTGTGTTGACTGCGGCTCCAGGAAAGTTGGTAATCTCTCCCAGAGCGGCTCTCCTCAGACCTGCTGCGGTGCTTTTACCCATCTTCACCGGGTTGTCTGCGGCGGGAAGCAGCTACAAACACACGGACACAAAACTCAACGACTCCGGAGAAGCTTCAGAAACGCTGCCTGCCGTAAAGTTGCGTTATAAATCTCTAAAACAAAACACAACGCGAACACAAAGCCCGACAGGGAGCACAGAGGCTAACGGTAGCTCACGAGCAGCGGAGGAATAAGTTCAGTTTACTCACCGCGGCGGGAAATTCCACTGACGACATGTTTAACGGCGGCAGCAACGAGGACGAACCGGGACTGAAAGCAACGACACGGAGATTTATTCCAGCAGCAACCGGACAATGTGACCACCGACAAGATCCGAGAGCACCGACAAGATCCGAGAGCACCGACAAGGTCCGAGAGCACCGACAAGGTCCGAGAGCACCGACAAGGTCCGAGAGCACCGACAAGGTCCGTGAGCACCGACAAGATCCGTGAGCACCGACAAGATCCGTGAGCACCGACAAGATCCGAGAGCACCGACTTCTGCAGGTAAACAACACGCACACGAGCAGCTTTCAAATAGCGCTGCGTCCATTCTGATTGGATACAGCTCCGGTAGGACGCTTCTGATTGGCTGATCACCAACCAATCACCAGGCAGCTCCAGTAGGACGCTCCTGATTGGCTGATCACCAGTGAGGTCAAAGGTACGATTAAGGACTTTAAAAATGGAATAAAACACGAGTTCTTCTTCTACATTAATAATAATAATAATAATAATAACAAATAATAATAATAATACTTATAATAATAATAATAACAATAATAATAATACTTATAATAATAATACTTATAATAATAATAATAATAATAATATAATAATAATAATCATACTTATAATAATAATAATAATAATAATAATAATAATACTTATAATAATAATACTTATAATAATAATAATAATATTATAATAATAATAACTTATAATAATAATAATACTTATAATAATAATACTTTATAATAATAATACTTATAATAATAATAAATAATATAATAATACTATATAATAATAATAATAATAAAAATAATATAATAATAATAATAATAATAATAATACTTATAATAATAATAATAACAATAATAATAATAATACTTATAATAATAATAATAATAAATATAATAATAATAATACTTATAATAATAATAATACTTATAATAATAATAATAATAATAATAATAAATATTAAATAAATAATAGGATTAATTCAATGAATAACATTATTATAGATTAAATACATTTCAGGAGTCTCCACTTTGTGTTCTATAATGTTTCCATTGATTAATTATTAATGTTTACAGCATATTTGGTCACTGCATCAAATAATGAAGAAAATACACTTTCTCTTTATTTAAATTTAGATCAACAAGTAAAATGTACAAAAATACAGTAGATGATTTTGTATATTGTATATACACTGTAAAAAGTTCTTTTAATTCATAAAAATATTTACATTTTACTGATTATAGATGAAGGTTGCTTCTGTGTCTTTGTGTTTCTCAGCATCTGAAACAAGAAAGTAACCCCTTCTGTGCTGCACACTGTACCAAAAATGACTGAATTTCTTTTCTTTGTTAAGACTGAAAAAACACACAAAGAAAAAAATTGAAATAAATAAATAAATATAACAATAGATAAATATAACAATAATAATACAGAACAACTGAAGGAAGTTTATGTGAAATTGGAGCAGATTATTTCCTGTAAATATTGATCAGAGATTTAATTTAATAATAATTGAATAAGAAGTTTTTACACAATTCTCTCTGTATTATGTATATTTATTTAATTTTTTCACAATCATACAGACACAATAGGCTTATTTTTTGACAAATTCAGTGTTTTCTTCTCCCTGACTTGTTCTATCAGCTCTTTGGTTGTTATAACGGCGTACTTTTTAAATATAGGGCGATGAGCTATAGGCCTAATATGTAGACTATAGTTTCTCTACATGCATTAAAACCCCCAGTGAAGCTCTGGCGACCCCCAGGTTGGGAACCCACTGCTTTATTCAATAAAAACCTAAACTAAAAGTACAAAACTAGCTGCTAATATTCGGAACAAGCTGTTCTTCTTTGGCCCTCAACCCACAGCTCAACCTAGAGGAAACACAGTTTATAGAAACATATGAAATAACAGGAGAAACACGTGCGCCTGCTCCTGTTTAAGCATTTATTGAGAGTGTGCAGCGAAATCACTTAATGGTTGCATCAGTAGAAATGTAACGGACGTACAGAACTTCAAAATAAGACAGTTTGTAATCAAATTTTCAGTCTCATTCTGTCTGAATGTCTGTTTATGGGAGTAATGAACATCTGTTTATCTCGGTTGGTTCCTACAATGATGACATTATGTTGCCAAGGATGAGAGTCAACCTCCCAGAAGTCTCAAGAGTTCACAATGATGATCAGTTTTATTACTTGAAAGGGAATCAGTAGCGTGTACAGCCTCTTTATTTGGAGCATCTTCCGATGTGACAGTGTTACTGCAGCTATGCCGTCACATAACCACGAAACTGAACACATAGACAGTACAAAAACCCACGAGCCTAATGGACGGTTGAATAATAAAAAGCCTCCGTTCATGTGGAGCCACTGGAGCCGTGAGAGACCACACAGAGTCTGAGATGTTCTGTATTTTTCTTACTGTCAACAAATCCCACGAAAAGAGCAAAACCAACAATGAATTGATCCCATAAACAAGAATTATCTTATTATCAGTGGCTCAGAGCTCAATTTTTGACTCACTAGAGCACCAAATGTGGATTAATCCGCCACTGAAAATAGTCCCTAACAACTATTTCCTCCTGTTTGAATAATGTTTGATAAAAACTACAGTGAGCAGTAGAAACAAAAGGTCTATTTTTTAAATGTTTTTTGTTATTTGGGGGGATTTGACGACAACCAAATTGAACATCAACAGCCTCATTCTGTAAGATTGTAGAAATCCGGTCAACTTATAATACTGATACAAATGTGTAGAAAAAAAGTATTGATTTATCTAAAATATTCCAAGTACAGAGATTTTTGTCATAAAGCAGCTGGGAAATATGGAAATATGGAATGAAACATGGCAGCTCTTTCGGTGTTTGAGGTCTTCAGCATCCTCTGACACACTGTCGAGTTACAAAATGAGTCTTTTGGTAATGGTGCTGTTATCTTTCTACTCCTATCAGCTGATATCGGTTTGCATTTTTTCCAAAAGTCTGTAAAAATGAGGGACTACAAGAGATTAACCTAACTGAAGTTTCTATAAAAAGTTAATGATACGTTTTATTCAGCAGCTAATTCAGCGTCTGTATAAAGTGATATATTTCTAAACGTCACAAAAAAACTCCACAATGGGTGACGCTAAAAATCTTTAAATAATATTAAAGGTCCCTTCTAGAACATTTGTTTCTCAGATGTGAGAATTTTATGCTTTTGTTAAACAGAGATCAGATTTGGTCGAATAAAACGAGCAATGTGAATACATCTCCTTTGGTTGTGGGAAATTATATATATCTTTAACTATTTCCTTCAGTTTTATGGATAAAATGATGAATCGATAATGAAAATAATGGTTGGTTGCAGCCCGAGAGCCTTCAGCCAGAGAGGTGACAAATTAAAGAAGAAATCTGAATAAATGAGTGCAGATGTTTCCATACAGGACCCTTAATGTTGGTTTCTCTTTCCATCTGTCACCCATCTGTACATACTGCAGCTGTGTCCCAGTTCATAGCTAATTTCTAAACTCAAAGTTAAATTATACAATTAAAAAAAATGCTTTAACTGCCTGTGAGTGTTACAGAGTCTCAGTCACAAACATGATTAATGTAGAAAACATCTGGAGACACCGTTAGCACAGTGCTACTCTGTCACATTATTACACCTCACTTCAGTCAGAGTCTTGTTGGCGACGAGGGAAGGAGGAGGATGCTGGCTCTCTTTGATCCCCCCAGAATTTAGAAAAATGATGCACAGACTATATAAATTTGAACCGTCATTTTTTTGTGGAGTTTTTTGTTGTTTTCTGATCCGAAACAGATAACGAGGAGACAAACGATGACCCAGCATCTCTGGCCTTTATCATTTATTCTGCAGGTATTCTGGAGAGCGCGGAGTGTGTGTGGACACAATCAGTTGGCATTCTGATTCATCTGAAGATACTCATTGTGCAGTTTCTCCTGGGCCTCGTAGAGCTTGCGCAGCTTCTTGGCTTGTCCCTTGCTCAGCTCCTTCCCTTCGACATCATGGGTGGGGAAACCCTGAAAGCAACCCAACAAGTACAGTTCTGATTAAATAAATATTAACCCAAGTGAACTGAAATGAACACATGGAAAGAGCAACGTAACCACACTTTAGAGCACTGGTTCCCAACCCTTTTCCCTCCAGGGACTCCTTTTCTACCAGTGAGTAAACTAACGACCCCTGAACAAGTGACAGGTTTTATGGATATTTCAGGAAGTTTGTCTAAAACGAGCAATTTGGATAAATTCTGAGCTGATTATTTCTTGTGAATATTGATCAGAGATTAGTTTTCCTGGTATTTTAATAAAATTTTCTGTCTGTATTGTGTATTTTTAATAATTTTTAACAATCATACAGACTTAATAGAATTCTTTTATGACAGATTCAGTGTTTTCTTCTCATTGTTCTTCCTCTTTGGTTGTTTGAACTTTTCTAATGCAGGACGAGACTGTTTATCAGAGAGTAAAGGCTCTGGGAATGTAACTCGTGTTCAGATCAATATCATCAATAATATCAACTTTAAAAATAACTTAACACAAATGCTGAGACTCAACGCCTAAAGATAGTTCGAAACAGTGAAGTTTCAAACAACATACACGATCTGAGTGCTGAGGACTAAAACAGGATTTTTGGTCGTTTTAATCAATTTCCAGGTGTTTCCATAACTGGAAAACACTAAATGTCCAGGTTTTCCAGGACGTGTGGGAACCCTGCGTAGGTCCTGCCTTCAAGAAGCCCTGCTTTGAATATTTCTTTCAAAATTCAGAGTTTGAAAGAGCGTGAGGGATTTACCATTTCATCAAATTTGGAATACTTGTCAGTTTCTGTGCGAAACATTTCACATGGAGGGACCTTCATCTTCTCCAGTTTAGCCATCTGAAACAGTGAAAGACGAGAGTTAGTGAACGTGTTCATTATCAGAGGAACAAAAGAAATCTCTGTAGAACCGTCTGATTGACCTCTTGTTCTTGTTTCTTCCTGGCAGCCTCTTCCTTCTTCCTTTTCTTCTCTTCCTCCATCTGATGTTCACAGATAATTAACAAGAAGAAATGGTTAATATAGTTCAGACATTATTGATCGAGAGTTATCGGCTTCCAGTTTCTGCAACTTTAATCCTGCCTCACCTGCTTCTTCTCCTCTCGCTCCTTCAGTAACGTCTCCTTGTCCACCAGTTTGACCACAGTGGGCAGGCCTGCAACATCAAGAGTCAGACTCAGTGTGGGACTAGAAGCACATTTATTTTCAGAAAGTGTTTCTGTGTCCATCCGAGTTTTCCCTTTTCAATCACGTCAAGGATGCCAGAGTCGCTTGTTTGAAGAAAATGAGATTAACTGTTTATGAAACAGTCAATTTAATACTGATGCCTCCGTATGAAATACATAAACACACAAGACCATCAGTGAAAAGATGAATTATTTCTATATATGGTTATTTTTAATGCCTGCCACCAGGTTACCCCTTGAAATCAATGAAACAAGGCGGTACAAACACTACCGCGTTTGTCCACAGGGGCCGCTAGAACCAACACAAAATTAACTTTCCCTGTAATTTACACAGCTTTAAGTTTCAGTCTCAATTTACAGAAAATCTGCAAAATAAAACTCAATTTAAAGCAGGTTTTTGCACAGAACGATGGAAATTCAGGGTAGAGCTGCAGTGATCGGTCAACTAACTGATTATTTGTCAAATATTAAATGAATCCCCAAGTATTTCGATCATCGAAACATAGTTTTTAACAATTTTTTAAGAAAGAATGTCCAAATTCTCCCATTTCAGCTTAAAAAATTTGAATATTTTGTATTTTCTTTAGTCCTCTATGACAGTAAATAGAGTATTTTTGGCTTGTGGACAAAACAAAACATTTGAGGGCGTCACTTTGGGCTTTGGGAGACCGTGATCAACAAAGAAACACTTCCACCAGAATCAACACAAATTCGAAAGCTCCTTGTAGAAGCTTTAAATAAAGTTGGTTCAAAGCTCATTAAACTGTAACAGAAAAAGATAATATTCTTTTCCTCATCATTATTTTTGCTTTAGAGGTCAGAATATTAAAGTTTTCAGCTCTGTTACCTTCATGATCTTCCAGTCGGACTCCCAGCTCGGGTAACGTATCATTGCGGACAGCGTCACACAGCTGCAGCAACTCCGTCACTAGATAGGATTAAAGTGTTATTACGCTTCAACCGTCTCCGATTCAACACTTACATGAGATTTATATATTATATTATATATTTTTATTAGCATCTCTGGAGAGTCAAATTAAAACACGAGTCCTCACCTTTTTGCTCGCGGGCAATCCTTCGGACGCCCTCTCTGAACTCTGACAGCACGGAGAGGTACGGCATCACTGTGCTCTCCAGCTGGAAAACACAACGCCGTCAACATTTTATGGCACGTGATGTTATTATTATTATTATTATTATTATTATTTTAAGGACATTTGTTTTGACATAAGATTCATTTAGATTTAATTTAGACATTCAATCGAAGGAAATCGTATAAATCTGGGTGAGGCAGGGGCAGGATGTCAGAGCTTTTGTTTGCTAACTAGACTGACTTATTATGGGATGTTAGGAACAGGGTGAGCTTAACACAATGAACAGAGTCTCTTTACTTACGTCCACGTTCTGACTTTGTCCTCCCATTGGGAAACCGATGGACTCCGATTCTTCAATGGCACCAAATATCTAAACGACAACAGACTCATGTAACGCTGCTTTCACTGCTCATATAAAAACAGCACAAAGAATCAGATTTAAAGCAGGAAACAGGATGAAATAAATCCTTTAACCAGGGATGCACGACATGGAATCTTTTTAACTGGTAAGATTGTGTACAATAAAAGTTGTTAAATGATATATAAATAAAAAAAGGCACTGTAATGTCCTAATCCAGACTAAAAACCTTGTTATTCTTTTATTCTATTGTGCTAATACATAAAAGGTTTCTAAAACTCAAGGTCTTACTATTATTGTCCTATTATTATTTAAAAAAATTAGATGATGATGAGAATCTGTTGTTCACAAAGTACGCCGAGCTTTTAATTGCACAACACCTTAAATCTACCTTTGTGTATGAAACATGCTTTATCGATAACACTGCCTTTCCTTGCCTGATATTAACCTTTCAGCCCACAGAGGTCAGCCTAACAGCACAGTCAGAAACAGTCTCACCTTCAGCATGTTGGTGAGATACACGGCGATACTTTCCACCAGCATGCGGTTGGGCCTCAGCTTGGCGTTCTTCCTGCTGGCGATGTAGCTGTTGCTCTGGCTGACCAGGACTCTCATCTCCTCCATGGCGGTGCGAGTGTCCACGTTGTCACACAGAGCCTCGTGGACGGCGGACTTCCTGTCGTAGAAACTGGAAAACACAAGTAATCATTGGTTTTGAGTCGAGAACTGGTGCGTCTGCAGACGAGCTCGTGGTTTTTTAAAGGCGGTTATTCTGAAGTAAATCACCTGTTTGGGGTTAAATCTGTTGAATGTCTTATTCCTCTCTCACCTGTTGTTGAGCTCCATCTCTGCCTCCTCCCACTTCTCAAACCGACCGGTGATGTCTGTCGGAGTGCGCAGGATGTCTTTCACATTCAGGAAGAACTCCTGTTACATAAAAACGCAAAACAGCAGGTTAATAAAATAAAAAATTTATACCACCTCTAAACTAAAAAGTCCCATCTGTCGTATCGTCACCTACGTTCATGAACTTCTCGTACTGGACGGCTGACTCCATTGTGTTGGGGGAGTAGTCCAGGGTGTCTTTCCAGGAATGCATCAAGAAGGCCAGACGGAGTTGGCGAGCTGCAGGAGGACGGAAAGAGGACTGTTAAACCAATATCTACTGCCTCCATTTATCTGACGCAGTACCGAAATACTAGTCACAGATCATTTTATCTCTATAGACTCTAAGAAACAGAAGCTTGTGACAGGACTGTACTAATGTCCAAATGAAGCTCTGACACATTTGGGGATATTTAGGCCACATGAATCACCTGAGTTCTTTGCCAGAGCGTCCTTAATTGTGATGAAATTCTTCAGAGACTTTGACATCTTGCAGCCAGCGATGGTCAGGTGGCCGGTGTGCAGGAAGTATCTGACCCAGTAATCATTCTCAAAGAAAGCCTGGGAGGGAAATCACCAACGGAGATCAGAATCTGTGTTTTACTCTCTCTTTAACTGCTGTGATGTCTTTAAATGCACCACAGTTAATCATCTGTAACTGCTGTCTTCACTCTGTGTAATGGGAGTAGCAGTTTCAATAACATTAATCAATAATAATGAGAGACTTTAGTACCTCAGACTGAGCCAACTCGTTGTCGTGATGGGGGAATCGAAGATCAAACCCCCCACCGTGGATGTCCATGGACTCTCCCAAGATAGAGCCAGCCATGGCCGAACATTCGATATGCCAGCCAGGCCTTCCCTGTGAGAACATCCAGGACAACAAAAACAATCAATAATCAATCAATCAATCAATCATGTCGTAGTCTTTTGGAGTAAAACTCCATCTAGCACCCCAACAGGGAAGTAAATATTGGAAGTTCTGTTGGATATCAGTTTAACGACACACCCACATTAAGAACGAACCCTCACCTTCCCCCATGGAGAGTCCCATGACGGCTCTCCGGGCTTGGACGCTTTCCACAAGGCAAAGTCATTGGGAGACTTTTTCTCACTTAATCTGTCAGCAGAGATGCTCAGGTCACCTACAAGATACAGATTCATTCATGTTAAAGCCCCTCTGTGGACGAGTGGAACATTCTTGACTTTGGCGATTACTTTTACCATCAGAATAATTTTAAATCATATAAAACTTCTACACATGGGGACATAAAAAAGCCTCCGATAGTGGAAATGTAGCAGACCTTCTCCCTCCTGTAACGCTTTCTGGTCTCCGACTGCCTCTGGCACCAGTTTGGCATACGAGTGGTGCGGACAGGCGTCAAACTTCGAGGTGTCAAAGTACACAGAACCGTTAGATTCATACCTGTAGACATCAGAAAAACAAGTGATTAAAATCTCCAGTGTAATAACTGAGAATGTGTGTGAATATGAACGGTAAACGGTTTCTTCCTCACCCATAACCGTTTGAGACAACCTTCTCCACAAACTCCACGATCTCGGGAACGTATTCACTGACTCGAGTGAGAACGTCTGGGGGAAGAACCTGAAGATCATAAAGACAGTTTATACACAGAAACAATATAACAAGATCTACATTGTCGTAAGTATCTCAGAGTGTTGCTGCAAAGAAACTGTGGTTCCCAACCTCGAGGTCGGGACTGCATTTTGTTTATTTTTGTGAAGAAAATGAAATAAAATTGTATTTTTCTTTAAGTTTAGATAGTTTGTATGATTGTTAAAACATAGAAAATACATCATACAGACAGAGAAACCTGAAATAATCTGTTTCAAATTCATCCAAATCTATGGTTTTATACAAACTTCCTGCAGTTCTTGTGTTCACTGTTCAGTTTGTTCTCCACTGTTTTACATTGAATATAATATGAAATATCCATCAAATATGTCCCTTTGTCAGTTTACTAAATGATATAAAGGAGTCTCTTAAGGAAAACCACTGATCTAAAACATGATTGTGTACTGTTTGATTTTCTTCAAAGAATCTAAAGACTGAACTCCAAAGAAAAAAATAATTATCATTTTTGTATCAAAAATTTAATTTTCACTTAAAAAGCAATAAAATCATGATGGTGTGACATTTGTTGGGACAAGATTTGTAGGCTAGGACTTCTCTTCAGCTCTACAGAGCTTCATTATAATGCAGGCTGTGTTTATAGGACACATATTATTTACATATATAGAGGGAATTGCTGCATTAAGTTTGCTTTCCTTCTACTTACGTTCAGGGCGTCCATGTCTTTATGGTACTCTCCCTCCCAGTATTTAGGCAGAATGGAGAAGATTGAATTCTCTGTGACTTGACTTCCAAACTGTTTGTCCAACCAATCAGACAGAAGGTCCTTGGAATTCTCCAGCAGCACCTTGAAAACAGAAGAGCCTGGAAATCAGTATCAGTTTACCTCGGTATACACTGACAGGATGTATAAATCAATCAATTAAAAGCAAATAATGAGATATTGTGAATTCCATGAGACTAAATAAAAAAGAATAGGAATTGTTCTTCTGTTCACACTAGTAAGTTATTATTGTTTAATCCAAATAAACTGTGAATTAGGGCTGCACAATGTGGTAAAAACATCATATTGTGATTATTTTTCACAGATTTTTACAGCGATTGCAGTATAATTTTCGATTAGTGGGAATAATCATTTTTGTATCACAAATTAAATTTTCACTGAAAAAAAACGATTAAAATGACGATGATGTGACCAAACAAACATGTTTTCATACATCTGAAGAACAACATTTGTAGACCAGGGCTCCTCTGCAGCACTACAGTACTTATAATAGCAGCATTAACAATATTATGAAGACCATGTGAGCTCAGTTTCACCTGGGCCAGAGGTTGGACGACCTCCGCTGCTGCTTTGCTCTCAACTGCTGCCTGCAGGGGCTGCAGGGCCGCTGTAACAGCAGCATCCAGCCTCTCCAGCATCTGCTTCTTGTCGGGGTCTGTTGTTGAAGCCAAGTGCTCCTGAAAGGGCTGAAGACAGAGATGAACACACACATGTGACGACAGAAACCTACAGGTAACCTGCAGGTATGGTGGTTTTAAGGAGAGATGCACATTGTATGAATAAAGCTTCTACAGTTAAACTTCTTGTATTGTATTAAAGGCTCATTGGGAGTCCGGTCTCACCCCTCTGGCACTCAGGACATCCTGCAGTACTTGAGCAGCTTGCGGCTTCTTCTCCTTGTACTGTTCCAGGAGGTAGTTCTGCCGAGCCCTTTTAATGATCTGAGAGAAAGAAAGACCGACATAAAGCCCGAGCATGCAGAGAATATGGAAACATACTGACGGTTTACGCTGTTTGAAACTGTGAAAGTGGACATGCAGCTGTTTACTTAAAGCCCCTATGAGGAACATATTTTATGTTGATTCTGGCAGCCCCTGTGGACAAAAGCGGTCGCGTTTCTATCGTCTTAATTGATTTCATTTCTGCATATGTATTTGCTAGAACAAATAAAATGTATAAATAAGTAATAAATTACTAAATCAATAAATAAATAAGTTAGAAACTCCTTGTAGTATGTTTAAAATAGTTATGAATCATTATCAACTATACAGAATACATCATTACTACTTAATATAAATGTTTTAATGGCATACATAATTATCTGGTGATGTTTTCCATTTGTCATGTGATGTGGGAATTAGCCTCCAAGTAACTACTGAATTTCACTATGAGTGATTGAACTGTTTCAATAATGCGTCACAAACCAGTTAAAACAACAATATCTTATATCTCTCTGCTGGGACTTTATATTCTGATCCTCCCAGACAGACACATGATTTTCAGATGGGGTGTAGATAATGAAGATATGAGGATGATATCGATATTCTATTCTATTGAGCGTCCACAAACAACAATAAAGAAGAGTTTGTATTAAATACTGTGTGTACTATTGGCATTGATCTTGATGTCAAGACAAAAAGAAGTTTGACAATTTTATCTTAAGTAGCACAAACGATTACAAGAGAAAATAGGAAATATAAGTCTATTAATTTATTTAATTTAATAAAAAGAGGTACAACCCAGTGAAGAATAAGCCTTTCTTATAAATCAGACTTACTTTGTCATCTATGTCTGTGATGTTCATGCAGTAGAAGATATCATACTTGAAGTAGTCCCTCAGTATCCTTCGCAGGATATCGAAAGATATGTAGGACCTAAACAGACAGATTGTAAGATCTGTTATAACTGAAGAACTGAGCATAATTATGGATGAAATTCACATCATGAATACTTTTTATTTTGATCTGTTTACCTGGCATGTCCCATGTGTGAGGCATCGTACACTGTAGGCCCGCAGGAGTACCAGGTTACTTTATTCCCTTTCTGAGGAACAAACGGCTCCTGAAACATAAAGACATAGACAGATATATGAATGAGAATGGACCTTTTCTATGTGGATTGTGCACCGATATGACTCAAAGAAAGAATCTTATTGAGGAAGTTTTCATATCGGATAACATATATACGCCCGAACCGATACCATAACGATATGTCTGCGATAGGCCAATAACATCAGCTGCACCCATCTGACCTCCGCACCCATCTGACCTCCGCACACATCTGACCTCCGCACACATGTAACTATTATAAATAAAAATACAGTGTGAGGTTACAATCAGATTAGGTTTCTTTGTTGATAGCTTCACAGTTTTAAGTCTGTTTGTGTTTTTTGAACCTTAAGGGGGCCAGTCAGGACCCTCTGCTGGACTATAAGATTTAATATTTGTCCCACGTCAAAACCCACAAAAGAAAAACCATCATGTTTTTGCAGCTGTACAGTGATTTGAAACCGACTGAAAAACACACATTTGAGTGTAGTTCCATAATTTCTGATGAAGAGAGAAGAGGATGCTTGGAAAGCATGGATGCAGAACGTGGCATTTTATTTGAGGACACAAACAAGCTGCATTGGCGGCAGTGACAGACGCTTCCTGTTATTGATGCAGCCGCCACTTTGGCACTTTATTACTACCTTCTAACTAACAACCTTCCTCTGCCCTTTATACTATCTATCTATCAGATTACAACTGATAGATAGTAGAAATAGTTTCACATTCTAAATCACACACTACGCACACATCAAAGGAAGTCTGAGAAACAACTGAGACGAGTCATTGTCTTACACAGTCGACTTCCTGTGCAGGATGCAGATAAAGATCCTGAAGTTTTACTTGCCAACTGATCTGAAATCGCTCACAGTAGTACTGCCAAGAAGAAATGGCTGGTTTAAACGTACAATATCTAATTTCTGCTGCCACATGGTAAAAATGTGGCTTCAGACTGGATAAACAGTCAATGTATAACAGCCACATGAAGACCCAGTCCACAAAGAAACACAAGCACTGACGCTGATTTGATATTCTCTAACCTACCTTTGCTCTCGTCAGGCTGTTGTAGAGTCGAAGTTGGGGAACATCTGTTCCTGCTGGTGGAGACCACGGGGGCTGAACCCGCTTTCCCTTCACTGAAATTAAAAAACAACAATCATTAGAAAAAGCCAAAGTTTATTTAAAGTGACAAATTTTCTATGCAGGAATTGACTAAATGTTTTCTGCCACCTCTCACGCTACACAAGAATTTAAAGCCACTATGTGTCGGATTTTAAAAGATTTCATGACTTTGTACCAGTTGTCACGGTCTGATTTTTTCCACAGACAGAAATTTGAACTACAATTTGATCTGAAAGTTACTTTCACATAACAAATCTACACAGAGGCTTTAAATTGAATACATGCTGCATGTTCAAATAGCTTGTTTGCCTGTGCAACAGTCCAAAACACAAACATATTCAATATATTGACATAGAAAACAAAGAAAAGCTGCAAATGTTCACATTTGAGAAGCTGAAAAAGCTGAAACTGTTGCAGATCATTTTCAGCCGTTTGACTAATCAATTAATAGTTTCAGCTCGACTGCGATCAGAGAGTATCCACAACTTTCAAGTATTTATCGTACTGTTCAATGCTTTCCAAATCCATATGTGTGCAAACAAAACCCACAAGAGAACTCACACTCAATCAAGAGACACAACACGTAAATTAAAATCCACACCAAGGCAGCTGATGTCAATCAACATCCAAATACATTGCTGTTATTCATTTGTTTTTTACTTGCATATCGAGTCTGAATGTAAAACTCTGAAGGAAATATTGACGTCATTGTGCATAAAACCCTACAGATTACAACATCCAGCTCCAAGTGTGAGGTGGGTTGTGCAGTCCACACTCTCAGGACAACTGAGCAGAACCTGCTTGTTTGTTTTGTCCTTCAGTCAAATGCCACAAAGGTACATTGGGTTAATGAACATAAGCTACTTTAAAGTCAGGAGAAAATCAGCTGTCAAAGCCAGACACAGCATGCAAACACCCAGCGGGCAGCACTTTATTTGCAAATGCAACGCATGCAGTGCAAGATATGATGCACGTCTGTGTGTTCTTATTGTATAATAAAGACTGTAAAGACTGTTTAATAAAGACTGTAAAGACTGTTTAATAAAGACTGTAAAGACTGTTTAATAAAGACTATAAAGACTATAAAGACTGTTTAATAAAGACTGTAAAGACTGTTTAATAAAGACTGTTTAATAAAGACTGTAAAGACTGTTTAATAAAGACTGTTTAATAAAGACTGTTTAATAAAGACTGTAAAGACTGTTTAATAAAGACTGTTTAATAAAGACTGTAAATACTTTTTAATAAAGACTGTAAAGACTGTTTAATAAAGACTGTTTAATAAAGACTATTTAATAAAGACTATTTAATAAAGACTGTTTAATAAAGACTGTTTAATAAAGACTGTAAAGTCTGTTAATAAAGACTGTAAAGACTGTTTAATAAAGACTATTTAATAAAGACTGTTTAATAAAGACTGTAAAGACTGTTTAATAAAGACTATTTAATAAAGACTGTAAAGACTGTTTAATAAAGACTATTTAATAAAGACTGCAAAGTCTGTTTAATAAAGACTGTTCAATAAAGACTGCAAAGTCTGTTTAATAAAGACTGTAAAGACTGTTTAATAAAGACTGTTTAATAAGATAAAGACTGTTTAATAAAGACTATTTAATAAAGACTGTTTAATAAAGACTATTTAATAAAGACTGTTTAATAAAGACTGTAAAGACTGTTTAATAAAGACTGTTTAATAAAGACTGTTTAATAAAGACTGTAAAGACTGTTTAATAAAGACTATTTAATAAAGACTATTTAATAAAGACTGTAAAGACTGTTTAATAAAGACTATTTAATAAAGACTATTTAATAAAGACTGTTTAATAAAGACTGTAAAGACTATTTAATAAAGATTATTTAATAAATACTGTTTAATAAAGACTGTTTAATAAAGACTATTTAATAAAGACTATTTAATAAAGACTATTTAATAAAGACTGTTTAATAAAGACTGTAAAGTCTGTTTAATAAAGACTGTAAAGACTGTTTAATAAAGACTATTTAATAAAGTTAATAAAGACTATTTAATTGTTATAAAGACTGTAATTTAAGATGTAAAGACTGTTTAATAAAGACTGTAAAGTCTGTTTAATAAAGACTGTAAAGACTGTTTAATAAAGACTGTAAAGACTGTTTAATAAAGACTGTAAAGTCTGTTTAATAAAGACTGTTTAATAAAGACTGTTTAGTTTTTTTTGGGAGCTGCACTGATTAATCAACTAGTTGTTAAATTGCCAACTATTTTGATAATCAATTAATCATTTCGAGTCAAACTTTGGACCATCATTTATAAAATGAACATCATGCTGGATGAAAGAGGACTTGAAACTAGAGATTGAGACCATAAACTCATGAAGTCGGGTCATTTTCTCATAAGCTTACATACAATCTGACCAGTACAGCCAGTTGTTAGCTTTACATTTCACCTGGCTGAAACTAAATTATTTTCATTATGAATTAATCTATAGAGCATTTTATTAAGTTGCTTGGTCCATAAAATGTCAGTAATAATAGTTTCCCAAAGCCTAAGGTGTCCACAACACAAACATGTTCAGTTTACTGTCAGAGGACTAAATAAAAGAAATTAAAAATGTCCCATTTGAGGAAATCTGAGAATTTTGACATTTCTTCTAAAAAATGCTTCAAAATGATCGATTATTTATACAGTAGGTGACTAATTTAATAGCAATCTAATTGATGCAGCTATATATCAAATCCATTTCAATGTGAGCTGTTCTTTGGGTAGGTGTCTCTTTAAATCAACATGTCTGTGAGCAAGACTAACAGGGAGTGTGGTTTGTCCCGGCTGCTGTCATTCTGTTTAAACTGTGATAAACTCAGTGCTCAGCCTCAGAAAGCAAAGACAGTATGCTGCTCTAACAGTGGGGGGGTTCATGCACGTCGGGTTAGAGCTGCTTTTAGTTTGATCACCGGGGATGTTTCCTGTCCCAAGGACCTCAGACAGCCTCAGCATCCGGGGCTGGTACATAACAGGGACCATGATCTAGCCTGTTCATGCCTTCAGCTGTCTACTCACTGCTGCTGTCAGGGTTGAGGTCCTGCTGCAGGGCTGCTATGTGTCTGTACCAGCGCAGAGCGTGAACGTGTTGCGGGTCTGGGGGCCTGCGGAGGAGCTTAAAGGCATTCAGGTCGGCCTGGGAGGGGCTGAACCCAGCCAGGTAGCTGCGTGAGGTTAGGTAGTCATTCAGGGCCACAGCCAGCGCGGCCTCCTCATTTATCTGTAGCAAGAAGCCAAACTCAAAGGCTGCAGAAACAAGAGGGCAAATATTCGCACAAGAATTACCGACTAGACTACAAACAGTTCACCCTGGACAGTGGGACAACCAGTGCGATCAGACTCACAGCCGAGACCTGTGTTTCCACTTCCAACTCAAAGGATGTAACAAAAATGAAGTTAAAACTGAACTGAAATCCAACACAAACTCTGTAATCGGACTTTTCTCCTCTCAGTCTCATGTTGGAACTTCAGAGGAGAGCAGATTGATGTTTTTTAGGTCGTGGACAGAGACAATACTGCACCCATAGTTATTAATACAGTACTGATTGGATGCAACAAGTGTCTAACACCAGCAACCAGGGCAATGATGATATTTTCGAGATGTGTGTAACCAGAGTAAACACTGTCTCCGGCGAGGATGTTCACTGTAGGAGGGAGAAATCTGACACTAATCTACACGTGATAAAAAAAAGGATAATGATGCATAAATAAACTTTTACAACAAGCTCCAATCAATTCCAGTAAATCAGTTCTGCGCTCACAACTTCACAGAAATGCCCACAAACTCAGAGTGAAACTGAAATGGATCGATTGATGTGGGTCAAACAGAAACTCAGATTGTATTTTCTCCACCAATGCACACCAACAAATAAAAACTAAGACTGAAAGTGAAACAGTGAAAGTTGGAAGAAGGTGAAGGGGGGGGTAACAGTTTTTGTTTTACAGGATGTGGAGATTGCAAACATTGCCCGAGTTATAGAGCTTTAGATCTTTCTGAGGATTTTTGAGGCTTACTGACTTTAATACGGTGCCTAACCAATTAATTATAACACCTTCATTAAAAAGTATTGAACAGGTGTCACAGTTAGTTTGGAAAAAAGCTAAACTGAGTTTGTTTTCATAGGTTGTCTTATAATAATAATAATAATAATAACAATAATAATAATAATAATAATATGTTTATATAGCTATGACTGAAAGAACGTAGTAACGCACTGTAATATGGACACGTTGCCGGTATACCTAACGATAAAGGCTGTAAAAATAAATATCGGTATCGACCTGAACTGAACATTAGTGCAGATACGATGGTGCTTTAATAATGTGCACTGTGGAGGGTTTTTAAAAGCAAAGTTTCTAATGACGGCTCAGTCTCTTTTTTTTTTTTTCCAAAAAAAAATTTAAAAAAAAAAAAAAAAAAAAAAATATATAAAAAAAAAAAAAAAAATAAAAAAAAAAAAAAAAAAAAAAAAAAAAAAAAAAAAAAAAAAAATTATAAAAAAAAAAAAAAAAAAGTTATATATATAGTTTATATATATTTAATGTTATATATAGGGCTACAGTCTCATAGTCTGTGTCTGCCAGTATATAGTTTATATATAGTACATATATATAGTTTATATATATAGTTTATATATAATATATATATAGTTTATATATAATATATATATAGTTTATATATAGTACATATATATAGTTTATATATATATATATAGTATAGATGTAATAATATGTTAATTCCACTGCAGGAGAGACTTCATGTTCTCTGCAATTAGGTGGAAAGAATATGTCAGGTGGGGAAATATTCAATATTAAATATCCAGCGTCATGCTTCCTTAAAAGAAAGTGAATCAAATAGAAACTTAATGGGTCAAACTAGATGATGCAACTGGGCAAAAATGAATTTTCTTATAAAAACAACAACAACAACGACGACAAAACAACAATAATAAATAAAAGTGATTCCAAGAGGTTCTCAGGACCTTTGTCACTCAAACTTTAAATAAAATGTATAAAGAAGACTTGAGTGGATGATGCAACTGAGCAAAACTGAAAGTAAAAACAAACATTTATTTATATATTTTATGTAAATTAAATGTTTATCATTCAACAGAACCTAACATTACATAAAACAAATCACAGCCTCAATAGTTAATAATAATAATAATAATAGTTTTTTAATGTTCCCTGGAAATATATCCACAGTCAACCAGCAAGTAAAAATGTAAAATAACATCTGTCCAGATGTGAACCTGTTAAAGATAAAGACAATCTGAGCTGCACCACTTCAGTAATGTACATTTATTTATATATTATATATTTATATTATATATTTATTTATATATTATATATTTATATTATATATGTATTTATATGACAGTTATTCTCTGTTTCATGTTATTCTTATAACACTACATGAGATCTGAGGCTGCTGTCAGACTCAGTGTATCAGAGCAGCACAGAAACACGCCGAACCAAACCCCATTCACAATCCTGAACCCATTATAACACTTGAAATGATCGTTTTCTGAACACAGTTGCTGTTTGTGGAATATGTGTGGACATTAAAGAGTGTCTCCTTTAAATTCAGAACAGCTGTAGAATCGTATTTGTTCCCCTGCGTGTCTCTGCCGATACATCCCGCTCCAATAACTACGAGATTAAATCGCCAGATTTTTAAAGGATGTTCGGCTCGTCATTTCACTCACCGGTTACCTTTAGCTAAGCGGCTCGTGCGGACCGGACCGCAGCTTTACGTTCATTCCCATGAATTTCCCGCCTAATGTTATAAAGGCTGACGGTGAGAAACAAGCATTAGTGACTGTACCTGGCTCTCCTGAGGTCGACATTGCCACAGTGCTGGATGGTTGGATGCTGATGCAACAATAACGTGTCCCGGAAGAAGCCGTGCGCTAAATGCTAACACTAGGAACCAATGTGTTCGAACCTGAGCGCAGGGCGGGGACGCATATGACCGACGCACCACCAACGCGGAAGTTTATGAAAGGTTTTTGAAGCCTACCGACCCGAGTCCTCCGAACCGCGGTACCACAGCGGACCGGGCCGATAGAGGGAGAGTGTGTGAGTCTGTGAGCGCAGGAATGTGTCCGCTGAAGGAGTGTCTCGATAAAGGGGCTCGGCTGTGGGCTCGGTACGCGGACTACGTCCGGAGGAACCCGGCGGCCACGGCGCAGCTGGAGAGCACGGTGCGGACGCTCTCATACCTGATCGCAGGTCAGTGACTGCAGCAGCTGCTAGACCTCCACCTGCACGCTGCTGCTGACCCCAGATCAGCTCCTGTAAGGTGTGCTCAGACTGACACACAGTTAATGTCGCCACTCTTCTGTTTCAGGGCGGTTCGCAGACTCCCATGAAATATCTGAGTTAGGTGAGTAGGAACTGTTTCCAGGGCCGTAAACACAGAGCGGGGCCCTTCAGGTGAGGGCCCCTCCCACAATGGGCCCTTCAGGTGAGGGCCCCTCCCACAATGGGCCCTCCTGAGGGCCTCAAACTGCCACCCAGGGCTGTATTATTCATATGGAAAGAAGCTGCAGGTCTTCAGGTGAACAGGTTCTACTGAGGTACTGTAGGGCTGCAGAGGCAGAACACCTGGAACACCTGGAACACCTGGATCACCTGTGGTTAGTGCAGGAGGGAACTTTATACATCAGTACTGTCACCATTAGTTTATGATGATGTTCAGCCCTACCAGCTTCTATATTATCACCGATCAATCAATATCAGCTCATCAATGTAGCGTTTGTCCACCAGAGAGCGCTGTTTTACTTTACTACAGTCTAACACAGAGTTTATTTATTTCCTTCTGCAGCACGAAGAATATTAAAACCTTTGACTGGCATCAGAATTTAAACCAGTTTTATTGTGCAAACGTAGTAAAAATCCAATATATTATATTTATTATGGTGCCTGGAGACGTGGGTGTGCTCTTATAGATTAATGATTAATGAGAGAAATAGTTTATTCACACAACATGATAGTAAAATATTCTGTTACGTGATTCCAGTGACACACAATGAATGGTACATGATCAATATATTGGCTGATACACTCCCTGTCTGTGTCTCTTTAAGTGTACTCTGCCTCCAACCTCCTGGTGCTGTTTAATGACAGTATTCTGCGTAAAGGCCTGAGATCTGCCTTCCCTGTGGTGAGCAACAACCGCTTCATCATCAGATCTCAGATTACAGTCACAGAGAAATAAATGCTTCTGATACAGCCGGTGCTCCGAGGTTGGCCTGGATTATACACACCGGCCTCAATCTGAAGGATGATGAGAAATAGAAGTGATGACGGACTAATTCTGAATATACCAAAAGAGTTGCATCTTTGTTTTCCAGTTTTCTTATTTAAAAGTATTACAAAGAGTTTTTTTAAACAGATAAATGTTGTCACTTGGGGATGAGTGTCGTTAGGATTTAATTAATACTCCGACTTATCGATACTCTGAGGTCAGAATCCATCAGTGATGCTCATTTGTCTTCTCTGGGTGTGTCCAGTCTCTCTCCCAGCAGAGGCTCCTGACCTGGCTGTCTGTGTTGGAGTATGTGGAGGTTTTCCTGGAGATGGGGGCCTGCAAGCTGTGGGGCGAAGCGGGCCGCTGGCTGGTGATCGGACTCATTCAGATCTTTAAGTACGGTTTCCCTTCCCGGTGACCTGAAGCAGAATATTTCCCTTGTTTGCATTTTAAACGTACTACAAGCTGTTTTTAACCGGCTCAGTTTAAGACTGACGCCGTTATATGACCTACATAAACAAAGAGCAGTGAGAAGCGTGGCTGTTTCTTATTGTCGGATTCCCCTTAAATTCAATGAAACAAGGCAGTAGGAACACTACTGCTTCTGTCCACAGGGGCCGAAAAATAGCCAATGAAGTGAATAATATATGGCCAAAAGTATGTGGACAACCCTGTTTGTGGAGAGCCTTTCCTGTTTCAATATGCCATCCATAAAGAAACTGTCTGCACAGAGCCCTGACCTCTGACCTCAACCTTATCTCACAACCTCTGAACTGGATGAACTGGAGCAACGGACCCTGAGTCAGACTTTATCAGCCGGCATCAGTGTTGGACCTCATTAATGCTCTTCTGTCTGAATGGGAGAAAAACCCCCGCAGTCAGGTTGTAAACGCTGAACGACTGGAGGCATGAAGTGTCCACATACTTCTGGCCATGTGATGTATAAGCATTGATAAATACACAGAAGACAGTGCCCCAGTTTAAAGTGTGTGCTTTGTGACCTCATTTATTGGTTAAACTTCTGGTGTTTTGTATCAAATATTAGAAGATAAAGTTTAATAGAAACTCCAGATGTTGTATCTGTAATCACTCTTTAAGGTAGTATGAATCATTAATCCCTCTCCTGTCTCTCTCAGGGCGATATTTCGCATCGTGCTTCTTTTGTGGTACAAATCTGGCATCCAGACTTCACCTCCCATAAACCCTCTGGACAGAGGAGCAGATTTAGTCAGTGAAGGTCAGTTCTCTTCTCTTTCTCACTGGCTGCTCTCCTTCCAGACAACGTGATCTGTTCCTGAGAGAGTTTGTGTCTGTTGTCCAGCATTAAAACATTTCACACATCAGCGTGTCAGCATTGTCACTGTTGGTGTGTTTACATGCTGTTAATCCACCGACGTCTCTCTCTTTCTCTTTACATTACAAATAGTTGTGAATCACACGCGTTTAAACTTTAAACAGCAGTGTTGTGTGTACAGCTTACAGCTCCCCAGTGGCCGAATGATGCTGCTTTAAACTACACTTCACTTCCTGCGCTGTGCATTTAGGAAGCGATGTATGTGCAATGAGTTTCCTGCGTCTCCTCCACAGATGACGCTGACGGGGAGCAGCAAGACGACGCCTGCTTTGTGGGTCAGAGGTCAGGGCGGTCCATCAGGCCTCTGGGCAGCGGTGAGGCAACTTCAATCTCTTTTTTTTTAATCGCTGCAGTTGTTTGAACTTGAAATGTAATATCCTTTGGCGTAAGAATTCGAGCTTCTTAAGCATCCGTGCGACTGAGCGTTGGTGTGAGTATTCGGTTTCAAACAAAAGCCTGTTCACCAGAAACAGGAGAGGCTGCCAGCCGGGTTGCACAGACGCTGCTCCGGAGCCTCAGCACTTCGGTTTCATGTTCACCTGAAGTCGTCGCTCACTCAAAATACAACAAATTACTCCTGTATCAGATTCCTAAGTGTCACTGTGACTGAGGTTATCCTGTATCCTTTCTTTCACTCAGACGGTAACTTAAAGGGAGAGTTCACCACAAAACCAAAAAGACATTTTTCCTCCTACCTGCAGTTATCCATGCAGATGGTTTGGGAGATGTCTGCCCTCTCGGCAGTATAATGGAACCAGATGTGAGGGCCATCTAGACCTTGTTGAGAGCAGTTTCATGTAGGAACTATTTTCTTTCTACCGAACTACACACTCCAACTGTAGCTGAACGTAAGCTGCCTCAGCGGTGGTAGGTGAGCTGGTTACAGCTCAGCCGAGGAGGACGCCATCAAAGTTCACATCCTGTGCCATCACAAGCCTCTCGAGTAGATGCACGCTTCCTTCTGCGCAGGGATACGTAGAAAGAAAATAGTTCCTACATGAATGTTTAATAACCAATACCAGCTGTTTCGCACCACTGTTGACCTTTAACACCCTGCGCTAGGTGACTTTCACTGTTTACTGACCTTTCACGTGTCCATGTTTGTCTCTGTGGTGTTCCAGCCCCCTCCCTGCACGCCCGGCAGTGGGGAGCGCCGAGTCAGAGGAAGAGGAGGAGCAGCCTAAGTGGGGAGAAGCTCCACAGCAAGCCGACACAGATGAGCCTTCAGGAGACCGTCGCAGAGTCGGTGTACATCGGACGGCCGCTCGTGCACTGTATCCTGATATATATTATATAAATATATATATCCCTATTGATTAGTTCTGTAGAAATATAGTTCATTGTTAAACTATGTATAAACTATTACTGCTGTTCCACTGCAGTGTTTGTTGACCTGCGCTGATTGAGGATTGGGAAGTTGTCTTTCATTAATTGCGTCGACCTCTAGATGGCAAACTGTTGCAAGCTGTAGCTGTGTCACTCTGCAGGAAAGGCCTGATGTCTATAAATAGGAACCCCCCCCACCACCACCAACGTGCTGTATGAGCACATTTAAATCGACCTTATAAAACAGACAGGAGGCCGACAAATTGACCTGTAGTCAAACACTTTAACTCTGTCTGTTAAATACAAATGTGGATCAGTATGTTTTAGCTGGAGACCTTTTTATTGGACAGTTTTTCCTTAATGAACCCTTCCTGGCTGCAGTGCTCTGCCTCGGACTCTGTGGGAAACAGTCCTGGAAGCCGTGGCTCGTCTCTGGAGTCCTCGAACTCTCCAGGTATCCAAGCTCCGTTCCCGTTCGTCCAATCAGAAATCATTACATTTTAAAAACACCATGTCTGCTCTTCATCTTCACAGTGCTAGTTATTAATATACAAAGATATATATGAAGTTATCTTTAAAGGAAAACTCTCCTCCAAAGTTAGAACAGATGCAGATCACAGGCTGTCTTTCCTTCAGCTCTTCTGGGTCATTCAGGATCTTTTAAGATGTCTGTCAGACTCGACAGGTGAATGATGGGTTATGAAAACATAGAGCTCAGATAAGCATCCTGTCAGGCTCTCATTCTCCTTTGTGCTTCTACCAAATTACAGTTTGAGAAGTTATTCCAGTTATTTGTCCTCCTTCCTTTAGCTTCGCTGTACTCGGCGATAAAAAGTTTCAAAATCGATGGGAGAGGAACGAGATGAGGAGGAGAACATTTCTTCTGCTGTACTACCTTCTGCGGTCACCCTTCTATGACAAATACTCAGGGTAAGTATCTTATTAATAGTTCATTTATTTATATTTTCATAAAATGTCAGAGCATTGTGGGTAAATGCCCGTCACAGGCCCCGGTCTTCAGTTTGTATATGACGTCCAATTAACAACCCAAAACCCCCAAAAAGTTTAATTTACATTTATATAAAACATAGAAAAGCACCTAATCTTTACATTTCAGAAGCTGAGCCAGAGAAAGTTCAATCGTTGTTGGGGACCAACTGATCGATCAATCGTTTCAGCACTTTATGAAACACCAGTTTTGAAAGAATGAATGCAGTTTGAAACATTTGTTGGAACTTGAACTTTGTCTCCTCGTCTGCAGGGAAAAGATTCTCTTCCTGCTCAAACTTCTGGCCGATCACGTTCCAGGAATTGGCCTTGTGGCGCGTAAGTACTGCAGTCAGGTCACCTCCAAACACGAGCCCCTGAAAGTATTTCTACAGCACATTAAATATTCATGACTTATGAAATATATATATATATATATATATATATATATATCAATAAATGTAAGTTCAGAGGGTTAAACCCCCTGAGAGTCTGCTCCATCGGGACTGTGGGTGTGGGTGCAGATCACATTTGATTGATGGTGCTGACATAAGTAACAACCCCACAACTGTCATCAGGTTTTGATTTAAATGCACAGAAGTATGTGATGTCACCTTTTTCTTATTCAGCACCGCCCACTTCAAGACCAAATTTCAAGAATTTAGACCAAACGCATCACACTAAATAAAGTGTTAGGACACAAATGGATTAAAGTGACACTTTAAAGTGAATTCAGTTCAATAAAATCACCAAAGTCAGCAGGATTCGTCCTCTGGGGGCCACAAATGTCTTAATGGCAATCCATCCAGTAGTTTTTTAAATATTTCTGTATGGACCAATATTTATTTCTATATTTAGCCACTTTTTTACTCATTTCCGTCATCACAAATGTCAGTGTAATTTGGAAGGAGGCTTTATCACTTTTCGAACTGAACCCGGATTCTCTATCGCCACTTGTTGCCAAAATGGCTCCTGTTATATAATGATAGCCCAAATATAACTCGTAGCAACTTATTAAGACAGTAACTGCATTTTATGAATAATACCAATGCACAGTTCAGCGTATTCCAATCTGTTCCACTCTCGTATGATGAGCTCAGAACGGTTCTTGTTCTGATCCTGTTATCTGTTCAGGCCCTCTGATGGATTACCTCCCCACCTGGCAGAAGATCTACTTCTACAACTGGGGTTAAAAGCTGCTGGACGCTCCCATCTTTAACATTTCTGCAAGTCAACAAGGACGAGGACCGAACTGTGGCGCCTACAGGGACAGAGACACTTGCCATTAACTTCCCAAAAATCTGATAAAATTATGTGGAAGTGATTACCACCTCTTACTGACAGCGAGGACCTGATTAATAACAAAATATCTCAATGTAACACTGACGTGATTATCACATTATATTCAGTAAACAGCAGATTTTTCTGTTTTTTTTCCTCCAGGTTTTCTGACCTTGTTTCTGACACTATAAAACACTGCTAAAAAAAAATCTGCCTCACATCTGAGGCATGTTGGAGAACTTAATTCTTAAGTTCATGATGTACGCCACTGTCTGTACAGTTTGTGATATATGGAAGAATGTTTTTGTGAGCACTGTTGTCTTTATCATTTCATTCTGTTCACGTCAAGAGATGCTGCAGCGACAGGTGAGCGCCGTTTGTGGGGAACAGGCGTCAGCAGTTCGCTGCAGGGCAGAAATGTTTCAAGAGGACTCAAAACGAAGGAGCGATGACTGAGAAGCACATTAAAGTTGAGCGACAAGTCTCTCAACACGTCGTTCCCACCAGCAGGCACTGAATTCCCAGTCCATGACTCAGTTCTGGACGTTGTTCATGCGCATACACACAATGAGCTATTGTAAAATACCAGCGGAAGCACATTATACAGCATGAAATCTTGAAACAGCAAAACAGCTTTTTAAGGGGGTGTGTGTGCATACGTGCGTGTGTGTGTGTTGGACTCAGTGACCAGAACACGGCTGAGGTTTTCAATCTTTATTAACATACTGAATAAGTTTCTTTTTTGTAGCCTACAAATAAATAGTTGAATGTTTCATCCTTTGGGTCCACGTGGTTGTTACTTGTTGGAGAGTTTCTGGAGGGTGGGACACACACGGGCATGGCCACGCTAGGAAAAATGACACTCTGATCTATCAAAGAAAATTACAAACCGGATTCCACCTCATCTACCGCTCAATAACTCGTTGAATGTAAAGTCTGCTGGGAACAGGGAGGTGAGGGTACTGTCGGTTTGTCTGGATCACAGAGGTTCACACTAGACAGGTTTGGTTGTATTCGCTTGCATGCTACCTGGTCCTGGAATTTAATTTGTCAGCTAACCAGAGATATATTTAAAGGGCTCCTCCTCATTATCAGTCATAGGCACAACCATCATGATTCAGTTTACACCTCGAATGTCAGGAATATTTTTCATTGGCTCAAACTGAACAGATTAAAATGTAAACTGAAGACGTCAGCCTTCAAAATAAAAGGTCATAAACTGTTAAGTGAACTAAAGGCAGCGCAATGTTAAAACGCCTCGTTTCTTTGAGAGCTGAGGTACCAGGTATCGAGGCAGACTTCAGATTCAACCAGCGACACTCAAAGTGAATCTTCTTCTTTAAAGGTTGTAAAATGGAGATGCATAGTCAAAACAGTATCATTGTTTGTGAGCTGGGGCTAAGCATGTTCTGTCTGACGTCTGTATCCAGACTTATTCTACTTTAAATGACACTTCATGTTCATCCGATGTGTCTTTTATTTACTGTTTGGGTTTAATGCTCAATTTAAAATCTCCCAATTCCTGTGCACTGCGACCAAGTTGGAGGTATTTCTCTCTGCGGCGCTCCCTGGATTCACAGGTCCAGTGTCTAACACTGAGGAGGGTCTGACAGAGATGGAATATAATAATATTCATAGGTTTGTTTTCTTTAGTGTATAATCACCTGAATATAAGAATTGTGTTTTCGTTACTTTAGAATGAGTTGGTTTTATCTAAAGAAGCGCCAGGACAAACCGTAGTTTCTCCTACATGCTGTTAATTATTAAGCTGTATTCAAATGGGTCCGATCTGCAGCTTCACACTGGTCCTTCAAAGGTCTTTTAAAAAGCTCCAGTGTGTGGGATTTAGTGGCATCTAGTGGTGAAGCTGCAGATTGCAACTGTAGATTAAACGCAGCTCATTCTAAAGCAACAAAGACGCAATGACTCTGACTTTCAGCTGATTATACACCAATAAAAACACATGTATGAATAATATCTTACATTTCTGACTATAGATCCTCCTAAATGTTATGTAACTTTAATTATTTAAAAAAAAGATATATAATAAATAACCATAGCAGCTAGGAGATCAAATGTCTGATGCTCCAGTGTTTCAGAATATAAACCCAGACAGAAACGCTTCATTCCAAACTCACAAACCGTCTGAAACTGTGAAGACAGTTGGCTGTCAGTGCTTTATGTGAATGAATAAAAAACAACCTGTGGACAAACTCAAAGTGAACAGCAGTGAATCGAACACTAAACGCAAAAACACGGTGGATTCTTGTTCGAATTAACTCTGAAAATTGAAAATATATACTGCACCTTTTTTAATATCACAATAAAAACAAAACAAAAAAAAAAAAGACTTAAGCATAAAGTATTTGATAATATGAATCAAAAACACTTTGATTTATGTATAAGGAATAAAATATAGTAGAATTAACTCCGACGTAATTTTGAAAACTAAGACCAAAAAAAAAAAGATTCTCGACAGTAAATTACAACGTAACTCTTAGTTTTAAAAAGATTACACCCTGTGATGGTTTCCTAAGAGTCTGCAAATGAGAATGAGAGAAGAAAATACTGTCTCACTCCTGTAAAATTGTCTGTAGAAGAGGACAGGTGAGAATTCTCTTTTCCCCATGCAATCCTTCCCGCTCCCCGTCTCTCTCTCCCGTTCCCGTCTACTCCGCCCAAATGCTTGTGTCAGTGAGGAGGCTGGTTGGCTCTACACAGGCGTTAGTTAGTATGTCTTCCCACAGGTTGGTGCTCCGCTCTCGGGGCTGATCAGTAGGCGCCGTAGCGATCCTGGAAGAAGGCAGAAAGATGAGCAAACATTTGTGCAGAGGCGGATGAAGATATCCAGATGTTGGCGTGAGGATGACGGATGTCTCACCTGGATTGTATTCATCACGCCGTTGGCGAGGACAGCCATCTTCCCCGCTACAGTCTTCACTCCTTGTTTGAACTGTGCGATGTCCGGGCCGGAGGGGAGCACCCCGTCGAAGCCTGATGCCCGTCCTGAGAGGACAGGAAGTGGGACACATAGTCAAATCAACGCCATACACGATATAGGGTCTGTTTCTATTCTAGCTCTAAATAAACTGTTTATAAAAAGACTGTTTGATACAGAATGTATGAAACAAATCAATGCAGAAAGACGGAGCAATGTTTGCTGAAAACTACAGATTACCTTTCTGGTCACTGTCATCCCCAAACAGGTCAGCTGAACTGATGGAGGTGCTTCCAGACATGTTCTCTAGTCTTGTCTTTGCATCATACTGAAAGAAGAAGAAACTAAAGTCAACATCAGGATAATAACAGAACACAGTTTTACACAGAATCTCTCTCTGGGATTGTTGCTTTAAAAAGAGAGTTTAGTGATCTGAAGTGAAATGAAGATGAGGGTTCTCACCTCTGCGCTGCTCTCCCGGCCGAAGAACATGTCCGAAGAGATCGCCTTCGCATTTGCAAACTTCTGTCTGGCCTCGCTTGACTCTGACACTGGAGCCGAAACCTCGGCTTTTCTTCTGCTGGGAAGTCTGAAACACGAGAGCACACATCACCACCACTTTATTTTGTGTTTTATGATTATCTGCGAGGTAAAATGACTCATTTTGTAAATGGAGTCTGGTGGTAGTGAATTTGTATAACCTTTAAGGAATATAGACTAAAGAGAGTGAACATCTGTGTAGATACCTCTCTCCGATTGGCTGAATACTAGAGATGGTGACCTCCTCTTTGGGGTCCTCTTTCTCCAGAGCCCAGGAGGTGGTAAAGGAGGCGGTCCCTCCCTCAGTATCCCACCGGGATCCAAAACTGTCTCCCACTGTAAACGGGTTGTCCTTATACCTGAAACACCAAACATAACGGATTCATAACCGAGTCCCTGCTGGTCTGAGACGTCCCTTCAGCTTTCTCTACTGACATCTTCATTTCTGTGGTCGGAGAACAAAGTCTGAAGTAGATCAATAAGTAGGTGTCATACGTACTTTGGGGGTCCGGAGGTGAAACCAGGCTCATCAAACATGTCCAGTTTGGAGCGAGAGGAGGACTTGGCTCCGACAGGAGTTTCCTGCTCAATCACCTGCATCTCTGACATCACTGAGTGAGACACAGCGCTGAAACAGGAAACACACATTAAGAGATTATACATGTGCAGTTTCTCAATCCTGAACCCGTAAGGCCCAGATGGAAGGTATCCTCTGGCAGACAGCTCTGCTCTGAGGATAACAACAGAACAAGGTGTTGTATGTTGGTACCTCCTGGAGCCGAAGCCCATGCCCAGTCTCTCGGCCTGCTCTCTCTTCTTGCCTTCCAGGTTCTGAAGCTTCTTCTCCTCCACCTTCCTGTCGATCTCCAGCTCTTTGTAAGCCAAACGCATCGAGGCCACACTGCAACGTCAGGAAGTTCAGAGAAGTTTTAAAAATTGACACTTTTATTCAGAACAAGAGAGAGCGTGTTCTATCGGTTATTCTGGAAAACGAAGGATGGGAATTACAAAAACAAACAAAAATCAGACCCTTTACGGGGAACACTGATTAAATAATAAACGTATTAGGTTATAAACATGACATTTAAAACATTAGTAAAGCAGCAAACTGTGGGATTGTTGTGAATTTATTTCGACTAAACCAGAGCTGGTGATTGTTGGAAGAGTGGAAACACTAACAAAGACGGTTTGAAGTGTGTTTTATGATTATCTGCCAGGTAAAAAGACTAATCCTGGATGGATGGATGGATGGATGGATGCAGTGTGGTTTGCAAATGAATGTTGAATATATAACCTTTCTAGTTCTAATAATAATAATTTCAGTTAATAAAACAACAGTGTTAACGTAGACCTGAAAAGGGAAAAGAATATTCCTTACATGGACTCCTCAGCTTGTTTCTTGGCCTCAGCGGCCTGCTCCTCTCTCAGCTTCTCGGCCACTTGCGCCTGCTTCTCCACCTCCGAGAAACTCTTGCTGCTCACCTTCTGGGCACCGAGACCTTTCTTTGCACCGAGCTGCATCAATGTGGCACACAGATTAATTCCAGGTTAGATATTAAAGGTAAGAGAGCATCCTTTTATTTTGAACATGTTAAAGAAAAAAGATAAAATGAACTGAACGATTAACCTGTTACACAAAGTCAACAAATAAATCCTCCTAAAACACACAAATTCAATCTTACAGGTTTAAAAATGAGTAGGAGGAAGATAGGGAGGAAGGATCTATTTAAAGTATCCTCCAGTCAAAAAGAAAGAGAATGTACATATTCACAGATTCTGGGTTTTTGGCTGAGGGAGAAAGAGTAAAGGTCATTTTAAGATTTAACAGATAATTTACCTTTGTGTGTAAGGAGGTTTAGGTTTAGCATTGCACTCCTAATAACACTATCAGACTCGTGCAACTGGCCTGCTAACAGTTCATTCAGAGATTGTGTTACCATGTGATGCTACAAGCAGCTAATGCAGCCGGTCTCTAGCCTGCAGCAGAGATGAGCCGCAGATACACAGGTCTGGTAAGTTCATTTATTTTTAACTTCACGCCCCCAGATTCTCTACAAAAATGTCAACCTTGCAGTCCGACGCTGATTCAAGTGACTGATTTTGTGCAATTTCCTCTGGAGACACAAAAGACTCTTTTACACTTCCAGCAACACCTGTAAACACTTTAATGTGTAAGACTGGTTCTGCTGTAAGTGCTGTACCCAGTACGACAGCTCCTGGAACACAAGGTTTGTGGTTTGGTGAAAATAGGACTCACCCCTTTTTTGGCCGCCATGGGCTTCTTCTTTCCAATGATGGAAGGCTTCACATCTGTAACACAAGTGGCACAATCTGTTCAAAAACTGCAGGATGTTTACTCTCAACTGAGCCAAGTTTGAGAATGACTTTCACACTGAAGGAAAACACCAGCTCAGAAAAACAAGCTTAATATCTCCAACATCAGAGAAAGGGTTCGCACAAGAGTGAAATTCAACCAATTTCACTTCTGGATTATTATAAATGCAACTGCAAAAAACAAACTTCACACAATTTCTTTATAGCCACAGCAATCAATGTGTATTGTCGCAGTTCATTTTACCAACGGTTCATATTAACTTTGATTGTTCTGAATTATTCATAGACCATCTTACTGTTGCATAGCTGAAACAAAGACTTTGTTTCTTGTGCAACAGAACATTTGAGAATTAACTCTTTTAATACTTGAATAATGTGAGTATTTCATGTCAGTTTATAGTGTTTATACAACTATTATACAACATTTTGTTATTATGTTGAAGTTGCTGGCATATCTTTCTGGTTTTACATGTTTAAATTCTGATTCTTTAATACATCGTATTATTTTGTGGGGAAAAGAAAACGCTAGAACCTTTTTTTATATTCTATTTAATGCTCACAGTAGAATAAGCCACTATAAACCTTTACATAGAGTATATGTAACAACTGATGAACCACAATCAGGATGTTTTTTTGTTGTGTATTTAAAAACTGTTGAACCTCAATGAATAAGCCGTTGAATTGTTACAAACAACCTATAAACTATCTGTGGACAGACTATCCAAATAAAGAGGAACCAAAATATTAAAAGCTTTTTGGTTTACATGATGATGTTTGAAAATGAAGCATTTTTCAAGACGCACATTCAAATTCAAGCATGAATTCATAACCTTTAAAACACGCACAAACGCTGCTTTTATTGTTAATTCACCAAGTGCTCGCGCTCAGTTAAGGACATGTAAGCCAGCAGAGCTTCCGACCTGAGTTTCACAAACATCACCAGCAAGACAGAAAAACTCTGAAGCTCTCATAACACCGATGTTAGTTTGCTAGCAGGGCAGGAACTTAGATTACAGACCCTTTGGGGAACTAGGAATTTTCCAGAAACACCAGACGACTGACGCACACTAATTTTAAACACCTTTGTTCTAATTGGTGAGGGGAAATGTTACCTTCCGAGTTATGACGCCACAACAACAACAAGTCACATCTAAAAACGCTTGCAGCAAAAAGCTCAACCACACACTGATCACCTGCAGGTATGTCTGACAGCTTGATAATGGCCGTTCTCCTTTAACACAATGGGTTAGCCTCGGTTCAGTCCTGACTGAGAATACCAAGCTCTACCTCGTCAAAGAGCAACTTGTTCAACGGCAGGTGTTCACCCGAAATAGTACGCAACCATCGCAGGCTCTCCTGAGCGAGATATTTCCATTGCATGATAAGCGGAGCAGGGAGAATGGAAGGCGGCCGACGAGGTGTCAATGAAGCAAACACAACCATGCGTCTGAGGCATAAACCAGCCACTGCACACAATTAAAGTCCACACTAATCACCTTGGGATGTCCATCCTTCCTGTGACGACAGACGCATGGATTCCTCTACACGACAGAAGAAACCAAGTCACCACAATCACAATCCAAACACACAAAAATCTGATTTCAATGAGAATAATGAATAATGAATAACACACTGCTGAATGTTATATTAAATGTTGTTTCATCCATTTGTAGGGTTAAATATGTTCTTTTACTAGTGTTTCATTTTTAAATGTAGATTTCTGTGTTTGCCTGGCACAAAAGGGGGAATAAACAACAACAACAACAACAACAAACACTGGTATTGGCTGAATTGTTATTCTAAACTCTGTATTGGTATCTACCCAGAATTTCACAAGCTGTGCATCACTATTGCAAATTACTAATTCATTAATTGATCAGTTGACAGAAAAATAATAATAAGTGGCTATTTTAGTAATCGATTCATTTTATGTCAAACATTCCTGACTTTGAGCCTCTCCAGTGTGCTGCCCTTTCCACGTTATAATATTGTAAGCTGAAGATCTTTGACTTGAATTTTTTACTATTTATATTCATTCTATAGACCAAAAGATTAATTTACTATTCATTTTATTCGTTTGTAAATTCATCTCTCTTGGATTTAACTTTTTAAATCTGTGTTCTTATTTGTTGCATTTGTGTTATTTTAAACCTTTTGTGAAGCACATTGTTTTGCATTATTTGTATAGAATATGCTTAAGTATAAAACATTATTATTATTATTATTATTATTATTATTAATTGAGAAAATAGTCAGCAGATTAATCAATAAAAACAAGGACAGTGCACACTGCTTGGTGAATACAATTTGAATATAACAAGGTATGTGCATGTACTTTCTCATCATTGTGCAGATAATTATTACTCTGCACAAAGGATTGAAAAAGAGTCTGTGACTCTACGACTGAAACAATCAAACTGGAAAATGTCTCTGCAGGGTTATCTAGACAGTAAAACGCTTTGTAACTCTTTGAATGCTGTATGAATACAGTGTGTATCTACAGTGACTGTGTGGACAGTAAAATAGTTGTGGATAGACACACACAGATAAAGATACAGAGATACAGAGATGGAAAGACGCCGTGGGGCAAACCCTCTGAATAGGCACAAATGTCAAACACAGGAATGAGGGAAATTGCTGGTGACAGTGCTGAAGTTACATAAGAGCAGGGACTGATTGTGCCTTTTCTCTCAGAGAGGGCAGAGCTGAATCACGCAAATGACTCACCGATGGAGGCTTTGGGTGAGGTGCTCAGGCCGTCGATGCTGGGACCGTCCTCTGGCTCTAGAAAGGACCGGATGAAAAACATGTGAAGCAACACAAAATATCCCTCACTTTTATTTCACAGCTTCTTTAATTATCTAAACTGATCTTCATCATCTCAGGCTTCGGTTTCAATCAAATTAATTTGATAAACCCTATTTAGTGTTGCAACGCTGGGAGGTTTTCACAGTAGGACGACAGCGATGTTGTAGAATAACGTAGAGAAGCAAATAAACACGGTTTGATAACCATCAATATTTCAGGTACACTGCTGCAACCGAACCCTATCACATACAGCAGAATCCTCCTCAGCCAAACCTCGGACTTAAATCAGGACTCTTTAACACAGTCTCTCTCCTGCCTGTGCCCGATAACCCCCCATCACCACAGTAGAATATGTCTCTGTATGAGTGAACTGACTTTAATGTGAGAAACGTGTGTGTTTGTTTTACTAACGGTTGTCATCCTGGATTTTAGCCGTCGTGTCCATCAGCTGTGGGGTGACAGCGGCTCCGTTCAGCTGGGGCTCGGACAGCGGCGCCATGTTCCAGTCGTTAGCAGGCTGAAAGAAGAAATATCCGAGATAGATATATTTTCAAGTAAGTGCACAAGAACATATAAAACCAGGTCTTTTTTCCTTTAAATTACTGAAATCAAAGCAAATCAAACATTTGCACCAACCAACTTTTAAAGGTCATTTTAGGGATAGCAGTCTATGTGAGCGTATTACAGATAGATCAATTACAAACGTTTACAACAATAACAACTAATACTACTTCATTTAATGAAGATTATATTTCTCTATATTTTATTACAGTTTTTGCGGGCAACATTTTTATGTATTTGAGGCTTTTTTTTTTAAATCACAAACTTATTGACTGAAGATGGCATTAGTTTGCAGAAAAACAAACAAACCTGTGTAAGTTCTGCAAAAAAGTCTGCCTCCTTCTTCTCAGGAGCAGCAGGAGTGCTTCCTGTAGAGGAGTCGATCCAGAGCTGCAACGCGGGGGGAGGAGGAGGAGGAGGAGTGCTTGTTAGACGAAGAGACACTGTGGTGGTTTACTGCATGTGACGTGATCATCATACGCTGCGATGAGGGCACACTTTGTGGACTCTGAACTAAGATCCGCTAACAACACAGCTCAGACACGGATAATCACTTTACCACTCTTACGTAATCAATCAATGATCCACAGGAAATCGATTCATTTCTGTTATTTTGACTGTGAGTGTATCTGTGGCAGTGGTCACGTAATAATCACATATTAGTGGTAAGTTATTAGTGTGTTCCCAGTGTATTTCAGGCTACTGTGCTTTACTGTACCGACATCTGAGTGTACAATGAAGATACAGGCACACAGATCGTACTGTGTCTGTTCTCTGGCTGAGAACTAACTTCTCCAGTTAGGATTAATAAAGTAAACAGTAAAGTAGTAAAGTCATAGTCATTTACTATAGTAATAGTAAAGTCAAATAAAGTTTAAAAAAGGCCGAATTAAACCCACTTATGGCAGAAATCACTAGAGAACGAGGTTTACGTCTTTCACTGCCATCGAATGAAATCTGATAGTGTAGTTGTTTGTGTTCGGATGCATATAATAAACAAAAAAGGTGTCAGCACTGTAGCTTTACCAACACAGCCAGTCTACTGCCACATGATATGATTGATTACCCCAAACTGTTTCCCCCTGACTGATACTCACATCTGTGCCATATTTAGACAATGCAGCGTTTGCCTGCTGCCGGATCTTCTCTCTGTACATCTGGGCTGCACGGCTATTATACTTGGCGTTGGTGTCGTTTGTGGAGCAGCCATGCTGGCGGAAGAACGCCGTCTTCAGACAGAAGGAGGAAGGGAGTTATTGCATCACATCAAAGCCACAGAAATCTGGTCAAACAACACATTTAAAACAACAATTCCTAGAACACGGGACATGAACATGATCTTGTTTTTATTTCAATTCAAGCCTAACCTCTGTTTTTAATCAGACTGGTTAGCCTGACTTACCGCATTGGCATTTCCTCCAACCTGCATACATCTAAGCTGAAACCAGTTCCAGTTGGAGTCTAACTCAGTGGACCTGAGAGAACAAGGGAGGAATATGCAAAGTCATTAAATGTGTGTGTGTGAGTGTGTAGATTCTCAGTCATTCCCAATCTGTGGTTAAAACATAAAATCAGTCCTTAAACCACTGAATGCAGCCACTGTAACCGGCTATTAAAGCTCGAGCTTCAAGTGTTAAAGGAGGCCGCTCCATGATGACAGTTGACAGCTGTGATTATTGTGGCGGCGCACCGACGTCTACTCACCTGATGAAGCTGAGATGAACTCCCAGGGAGCGATGGATGCCGGAGCAGTCGATGCACAGGAACACACCATACGAGATACTCGCCCAGCTCGGGTTTTTGGCTGCACAGTCGAAACATACCTGTACACAAAGAAATGTGCATTTTATTGAACTGTTGTTACTGGGACAACTTTAATGAGATAAGATAAGCATCCAATGTCAGAACAGTAGTTACACGGTTTTGCAGCAACGTAATCACCATGATACTTCATATTTTCTCAATTATTAGTCATGATGACATATTCAAACAGCTTGTCTTGTCTTTTGGAGTCCAAAACTCAAAGATATTCAATTTATGATCATAAAATACAACAAAACCACCAACAAATCCCATTTTAGAAGCTGGAAGCAGTTCATTTTTGTAATTTCAGCTTGAAAAAATTACTTTTATTCATTATTCTATTATCGAATTGTTCCGCCGATCACCTAATCCTTTCAGCCTTTAAAACATATACCATACAACCACAGCCTGCCGTTGGCCAATTCTGGCCATAAATGTGTCTTCATCTCAACCATACTGTCACTATCACATTGTGTCTCAGAGGGCAATACAATGTGAACAACATCTGTCTGTAGACACTCAGTTCAGCGATGGAGAGACGTGCAGTCGGTGCCGTATGTACAGAGTGAGCAGTCGTTCCCAAACTAACCTTTAAAAGCTGAAAAAAGCAATTACATGTAAAAGAAAACACACACAGCTCTCCTGCTGTTGACAGAGAACACAAGAGAGCAAGACCGACCACTTCATAAGTGAGCAAACATGTAGATTTAACTGACATGTTTGAGGAGCATTACTCTTTGTTCCTTTTACTCACTGTTTAAAACCGACGTACATGCTGTCCTCCTTCTGAAATATATCTTGCTTGTTAATCCTATTTAAATAAATCATACTCAGACCTTTTTGACAGCAGACATTTAGACTTGTCAAAGCAGGGAAAGTGTGGAAGTTACACATGTTCAAGTAGTTTAATTGTCACATAATCAGGTACAAGCATAGTGAAATGCGTTTCTGTCAGCTCCTACAACTTGTAGAATAAAAACTATAAATAGAAAACTTATTCCAATACAAGGACAGAAGGTATTTAATTGTCATTTTACAACAATAATAACCCTCAGATACAGGTAAAGTATAATTCCGGCCTCTGGTGTAAATGTCCTTAAGGCAGACTGGGAAGAGTACCACCTATTGTACGTTCAGATTAACAGATCAATCCCTGTTTGACAAGTCAATCTGTGGGAAAGGTTCATCAAACTTAATACTTTAACTCCACATTATCCTGGTGGGGCTCGTAAGTAGACTCTATGTACGCACTGTAGATCTTTAACAAGGATAAAATATAAAGAGCTAAACTAAATCACCACAGGAATATTATGGTGAATGGACAATAAAGACACTCTGATGTTAAGATCAATCAATCAATAATTTAGTAATGAGCACAGTATGAGGGCAGTAGAGGATGGTGGGTAAATAATGTTCACAGATTATTAAGATAATGATCTTACAGTCTGTAGAACAGCAGAAACAATAAACACTGTACACATTCATTATTAACACTAACAATAATAAAACCTAACTTACATCATTTATATTATCTATATATCTATATATCTATATATAGATATATAGATATATATATAGATGAGATAATAAAGGTAAATATTCTCTCATTGGAGCTTCTCTTTAGATAATAAAAGTGTCTTTAAATGTTTTACTGTGGGTCTTTAATAAGGTGTTTTCTAATAAAAGGTGTTTTTAAGGGTTTAGTTGGACAAATGAAGGATTCTCTGGCTGACTCACATTAACAGGCTATTACATTTTATAGACTAAACAATTAACTGATTGATCTGGAAACTAATTAATAGATCATAAAAATAACAAAAGATACTAACAAGTGGGCAGGTGGATGATAATCAATGATTATATAGTTGATTAGAGTCCCAATTAAAGACCTTAATGAGGAAAAGGTTCCAGTGTGACAGAAACACACATTATTGATGAGATCAGCTCGGTTTAAAGAGTAAACAATAAACACAATAAAGAGTAAACAATAAACACAATAAACACATTAAAGAGTAAACAATAAACACAATAAAGAGTAAACAATAAACACAATAAAGAGTAAACAATAAACACAATAAAGAGTAAACATTAAAGAGTAAACAATAAACACAATAAAGAGTAAACAAACATTAATAAACTGAACACATCGTCTCTGCCACCATTAGCATTAGCATTAGCATCATACGGCTCAACGCTGTGACCTCGTTCAGACTTTAAATGTTAATAAACTCGGTTTATTTAAATAAAATATAAAGTTAAAGGTTAAAGGTGAGCAGTTACTGTCCCTGTGTGAGCGCAGTCCGGTCTGAGAGCTTCAGCAGCGGACACAGATCGTCTACGTGGCCTTTATGTTTCCACCGGTAAGCTAACAGTCGTTAGCATCGTTTCAGCTCTGTGCAGCCGGGCCTGGCAGCTAGCGAGCTAACGGAGCTAACGGAGCTAACGGAGCTAACGGAGCTAACGGAGCGGGAACGAGGCCAACCGCCGCCGCGGGAGCTCCCCGGTAACCGGGCCGCCGCCGCCGCCGCCGCCGCCGCCGCGGGCTGTGTGTCCGCGGGCTGTGTGTCGCTCACCTTGTTGGTCGGAACCGATCTGAGTCTCTTGAAGATTGTGAGGATTTCAGTCTTATTTGGTTCCGCAGCCATCTTGCCACTGTGACAGATATCCGTCCGCTGACGTCAGTACGGGTCGCCGTGTGCCGCAAATCTACGGAACGCGACGCAAACGCGCTGCCTGAATCTGCTCTTTGCTTAAATCTCTGATTTTGTTAAATAACGAAGAAAAGTAATTCCCTACTGAGTCACTATGAAAAGTTTCTTCCCTGAAGCCCCTGTTTGAACTATTTATTTATTTATTTATTTTAATCATTATTATTATTTATTTATTTTTATTATTATTCATTTTAACTATTATTATTATTCATTTTTATTATTATAATTCATTTTAATTATTATTACTTATTTTAATTATTATTATTTATTTATTTTTATTATTATTCATTTTAATTATTATTATTATTTATTTATTTTTATTATTATTCATTTTAATTATTATTATTCATTTTAATTATTATTATTTATTTTAATTATTATTATTTATTTATTTCAATTATTTATTTTAATTATTATTATTTATTTTAATTATTATTTATTTATTTTAATTATTATTTATTTATTTATTTATTTATTTATTTATTTATTTATTTTTAATTTGTACTCTATCTTTGATTTATTTATTATTTATGTCACCAATGTGCTGATTGTTATTGTATACCTTGTAGTTTTGTAAATTTAAATTGTTCAATAAATAAACAAAAAAATAAATAAAATAATCTAAGGAAAGCGAAAGGTCAATAAACAGTCGCTGCTTACACACGCAGACTGATGCTTGGTGCCTACAAATAATTAATATTAAAAACAATTTTCTCCATTTTCACTCAGTTATATCCGCCTATTGGCTGACCCTGTTCTACCGCTCAACCAATCAGCGTTAAGCCCTTAATTGGATCAAAGAGAAGATTAGTTAGGTCTATATCTTAAGTATCCAAACCACTAGGCTTTGTATCTTATTCTTTTCTTTATGTGCAATTATAATATTAACAAATCACTCAAGTTGTTTTTCATCACCTCTTACATAATTCATATAGAATAACTGTATACTGTAATATTGTATAAACACACATCTATTTTTTTCCAAAGGGATTCAATTACTTATTTTCTTATGATTTTTTATTTATTTATTTATTTACATCCCTGTTGTATCAATAAATCCATTAAAAATATAATTACATCACTACATATTTTTTCATTCTGAAACCACTCTGTGTATTATAATTATAACTTTTATCTATTAAATTAAATCAAATCAAACAACTACTGTTGTGTGGCTTTTTTATTAGCGGCCATATTGATGAACATTTTGTTTTATTTTGTATCCTAGATGATGATAAAGGTTTGAAGTCTCAGTCATATTATATTTACATGGAATATTTCCAATCTTGTAATTTTAATGAATGCAAATTAACAGCCGTGAAAAGCTTTCACACAGGAGGTCAAACAGTGACTCGATTCATTTATCTGTAAATCCAGAGACTTGTATCGCCCCTCAAACTGTTCACCTTGCTTCCTGCACACCTTAAAGCTGACTGTTACTCACGTTCTCTTTCTCTTATGTGGTACAAGGAACTTCTTTGTTTATTTCAGCAAAAGTGAAAATGAAAGTTTCCAGAAGCCATAGTTGTGTTACGCCTTTTATAAGTCTCCCTCTCTGAAAACAAACCTTAAATATTTCACTATAACAGTAAATATTCATAACTAAATGAGCAAGAGGTCACATTAAACTCCAGGAACTCGCAGTATAAAGAACAATTTTATGTCCTCTCAGCAGCTTCAAGACAAATGTATTTTATAAATACATATAAATATCCATCAGCAGAGAGATTTAAACCACGTAATATCACTTTTCTATTCAGTATCCTACTTATATAATAAATATGACACAACCATGTTCTTATGAAAACAGGAGGGTGACCTTGGTAATGAATGCAGTGAAGAAGATAGAAGCGATACATCCGGTACGACCAACCTTCACTTGCAATAGACTTAGTATAAATTATAATATACAGCGCCTGTTACCCTCCACCAGATATCTCAAATCATTTCTCCTTTTTGTCGTGAGTATAAAACAGATCTTTAAACTCACATAGCTCGAGAACTGAATGACATCTTGAAGACTACAAGAAGGACGAATCCAGGACTGCTCATAACAACTAAACTAAACTAAACTATGAGAATGGATCCCTCCTCTGCTGGAGACACTGCACAGGCTGCCTGTGTCTTTTAGAATTAATATAAAGGTTCTTTATTTGTTTATAAAGCTTTCTTTCATTTTCTGTTCCAGACAGATCACTGAGGACATCCACTGCTTTTCTTTTAAATGTTCCTAATGTGTCTCTAACTGTGTAACTCACTGCCTCCGGATATTAAAGCTCTCTCAGTATTTTTAAAAGGAAACCTATTCTTCTAAATCTGTCTTTTACTTTGGAGTAATGTTACAGCCTTTGTTTGTAGGTTTCAATCTTTGGTTTTGTCTCCCTGGTAATTTACATTTTGACATTGACATTTATTTGATGTTATTTAATTGTATTTATTTATGTATCTATTCATTGTACAGTTGTATTTATGGTGGTTCATTTAGTTTTTACGTGTTCAGTTTGCTATGTGAAGCATGTTTGTCTCAAAGGTGCTTATTTTGAGAACAAAGTCTTCATTATATTTCTGGGTTGTAGCAGACGTGTGTGCAGGGTGCGGGTCGATTAGATATGACTGACAGGATCATCGTTAAATTCTGATTGGTGTGAAGTTACGTCAGTGTTTTTCAATTGAGCCCTGCCCACTTTAAAACAATGACAAGAACATGGACGAAAACGTGAACATATGTTATGTGAAGTGTCTTTGAGTGCCATGGAAAGCACTCTATTAAAGAAATGTATTAATATTGTTATTATTGGTAATAAATACAGAAATCTGATCCTCATGTTCAAATAATCTCTCATATAGTAAAAAGCTGATAGAGAAAATTAGAAAAGTATGCAAAGCTTACAAAGTTTATCAGCTTACGGTTCAAATGCAATCAGCAGTAATATATTAAATGTATATTTGAATTTATAACCCTGACTTGGGTCTGTCCTGCCTGATATGCACCGGTGTTGATGGAAGATGTGCAATGATGTAAAATATGAATAAAAAAATCAATAATTCACCTCAGATGTATTTAAACTAAAGTAAGAAGCCTGTTTTGAAGTAGAAATTATAGATATTTGTGTAAAGTTTAGGGAATGAACAGTTGTATTGAAAATAAAGTTAATAAATAAAGTACAGTAATGAAGTATTTGTATTACTTCCCAGCGATGATTAAAACATTTGTGACAGTGTTTTTTATTGAGTACCATCACCTCAGGTAAGCACGGCTGTCCCAAGTATGTAATAAAAATATATCGGGAAGTAATAATAATCTGCCGAGGCTGACAGGCTGGTTAAATGATGAAGCTGATGAATCTGTGGAGACTGGGCGGTGATGGGGAGGAGGAAAGGCGTACATAAAAGACTAACTGTGACTCTAAAGCAGTGGTTCCCAACCTGTGGATCAGGGCCTCCATTAGGGACCCCAAAATCTTCACAAGGCCTTCTTGATTTTAACAGATTAACAGATTGTTATTTTTAAAGTTTATATTATTCTTTAAAGGTCCAGTGATTTTCATTAACGTATAATCACCTGAAAATAAGAATCTTTATGTTTTGTTAGCTTGGAATGAGACGTTTTTATCTACCTGAACACAAGATATATCTACAGAGATAAACAGCCTCGTCCTGCGTTAGAAAAGTTAAAACAACCAAAGAACTAATAGTTGTTAAAATTTACATAATACAGACAGAAAACTGATCAAACGTTTCTAAAAATATCAGAACAATTAGTCTTTAATGCATTATTAACAGGAAATAATCTGCTCAAATGAACTGTTATTGTTAATCATTGAATATAATATGAAATATCCATAAAAGATGTCAGTTTACTCACTGATGGTAAAGGGGTCCCTGTTCAACAGATGAATTCTTTTGGACTTGACAGTCATCACTTCACACAATGTCCATCCATTAAATCAGTGAATGTGGGTCATACCAATTAAGTGTTAGGACTGACTTAAAACCTGTAACCTAAACCAGAGGATTTAAGTCAGTAGGCAAACAAAATGCCAAAATGTCCTCCAACACAGAATCTGCTCTCTGGCTACTTAAAGATCTTAGACTTAAGGCTTAAGTTCTCAACTATGTCTTTGTTTTTTTTTCAAAGACATAAATTGTAAAGTTCGGCACAGATCTGGTTCGTCCTGTCGGGTGAATTCCAGGTGAACCGCCTCTCACATCTCAGAGATTAAAACTGACTGAACAAGCTTTCACACACACAGATTCACCATGGAGGCAGGTGCAGTTCTCCTGCTGCTGTTCGCACTCTGTGGGTTCGCTTCCACTCAGAGCTTTTATGGAGACAGCATCAATTTCAAGACTCCACACAAGAAGGCGGATGGGACATTTACGGTACGTTTATTGTTATTTAATTATCTGCTTTTAAAGGTTTATATTTGGTCAAATAGAACAGAAGAAAGAATCACAACATTGGATGCACACCAGAGTTTTAAAACTAATCTAATAAGTTATGCCTGGAAGGATTTAAGTTGTTTTAAGAGAAAATGTGTAAAAGTGTAAGAATAGAGTAAGGCATCAGTAGTATTACTGATTTAAGGAATCTACAGCCACGTAGGAAGAACTGAAGCTGTGCTCCTCAACCTGCATATCATTCATACCTGCTCTACAGCGGCGTTATGGTCTGGAAGTTTCACAAAAAACATGAATGTTCTTTCTGTATTTCACTGTCAGGAAACTTAAAGTGCTTTTAAACTATTGCTAATAATGTTTTTCCCCCCAAATCCTGTAGGTGACCTTCGATCACAGACAGAATGGCAGAGACAGCTGTGTCAACCAGTCATCCTACACATGTGACGGCGGGGTGTGCACAGGCTTCAGTATGTCAAGCGTCCTGCAAACGGACCAGGATTCCTTGGGCCAGAAGCTGTGGTGCCAGTCCGAAGGCCAAACAACAGCAACCGTCTCAACTAATAAAACCACCCTTTCTCTGAGGTAAGCTCACAGGAAACCATCTCCTCGGTCTTAGTCCAATCAGGCAGCAGTCCTGTTGGCGGCTGTTTGAAGACGAGATTACATCAGAAAGTTGTGGGAGAAAATTAGGAGGAATAAATGAAAATACGGTGCAGTCCAAGGGGGTGATATGTTCATTCAGCGAAGGTTCGGACAGTATGAGAAGATTACAGACCGGATCAATGAGATATTTTTATATATTACATGATATGATACACAGATCTGGATCCAGATCCATAAACTTATAAAACCAGATAAATTGATTTAACTCAGAATAATTAAACTGTTGAAAGTGAACTGAACCCCTAACCCTCAATTTTGAAAGTCAAAGTAACTTTGAGTGACTTAACTGTGTCACTTTTATTTGTTCTATGAAAACCAATACCCAGTATAACTTAATCAAGAGTGTTTTTTAAAGAACAAAATTAAGTTTGAGTTACTTAAAATGTTTTATGTAATCTGTTTCAACTTTAGTCAATTTTAGTTTAGTTAAAATAACTTATTACATTTCAGTGTTGGACCTTTCCAAGTACAGATCCTTTTTGTCCAGTAATGCAGCGTTAGTAAACCAGTGAAATATGGAGGCTAATTTTCTTTTCATCAAAATGGCTGTAAAATACATTTAAAGATTATGAGGGCTCAATGTTTTCCTAAATAGAATTATTATTATTATTAATAATAATAATAATAATAATAATATTTATACAGCACCTTTTAAAAACAGAATTCACAAAGTGCTTTTACAGACAAAGAATACAAAAATACAATAATAGGAGCAGAATGGAAGCCATTAAATAAAAAATAAAATAGACAGTTTAAAGTAAAAAAAGACAACATCACATAAAGACAAGTCTAGAAAAATGGGATTTAAGAAGTGGTTTAAAAGAAGTCACTATATAAGTCATTCTTATCGTCGTTCGATAGGCGAGAGTGTGGTCACCTTTAGATTTTAGATTAGAACAGCCAGAAGGGCCCCACCTGAGGGTCTAAGGGTTCTGGCTCATGAGGAATCAACGTTTCCGTAGCTTGGGGCCGGACCTGCTTTGATATTGATCAGAAAATGTAAAAAATCTGCTCTAACTGAAACTTTAAAAGAGTTTGGTTGATTGAGTTAAAGAATGTCTCAGATGGTCGGGGTTCTGCCGGGGGGGGGATTGGATTTTCCTGGCCACCGCCCTGCATACTGTACAAAGGGAAACGTGACTTTAGGAATTTATTTATCACGTGTGTGGTGTAAATCACCAGTTTCTTCTCGATACAGTATTATATTCTATTATAATTATAATTCTTCTGCTGAGAAGAGATAATGAGACGATATCATATATCCCCATTAACTCAATTACATTTATATAAACTCACAAAAGAAACTAAAATAAGATTTGAACATTTTATTGCTGAACTCTGACATTTATTTTATCTCACATTTGTTATATCAAGTGTCTATGTTTGCACACATGATAAAGATGACGATATAAATCAGTGTTTTCACTCACGATATATTGGACCGTTGAACACTGATATTGATCCAGATCGATGTATACCCCTATATCTTCCACCTAATATTGTGAGGGCAGTGGTAGCCAGTGCGACTCGCCTGCGTTTCCTGGTACAGTAAGTCAAAATGTCTGCTGTGAGAACGGCCTGAGATTGAACGATTAAAATACTTTGAATTCAGTGAATGTAATTATCAGATGTACCTGCAGTGAGCTGAATCGCTTCCTCATATTTCTGATACATCAACAAAACATCAAAAACGCACCTTTCTTGTCCCGAGTCCAGAATAGTGACTGAGATTCAGCGTTTTGGTCAATGTATTTTATTAAATGGAATGATATGATATGATGCTGCTATAATGCTATATTCTGTACAGTGCATCTCCGTGTGTCAAAGCATTTCACGTGGTAGTTTTACCAGTTTTGCTTGAATTTACAGCCCTGATTTACAGACATGTTTTGCTCGTTCAGCTGTGGTGGGGTTCTGTAAAAGCTGTTAAACGCTTTGAGGCTGATTCCCTTCATGAGGAAATCTCCTGTTTCACCACATTCTCACTTTGTTTTTGTTTGTTTTCTCAATTGTGACTTTTTTCTACTTCAATAAACTTAAAATAAATGGCTAATCAAACTGATTTAGCGAGACATGGAGACCATTTTCTACATTAAGTATTATCAGATGTGTTTATTTTGTATTTTAATGTGTTGTGCTCCTCTACATGTACACATATACAGATACACTGTAAAAAAATGTTTTATATTGCACAAACAGCCTGTTTTCAGTTTTGTGATGATGCTTAGGGTTTTTACATTGTTTATTACGCTTTATTAAGAAGTAGGAGAATTGTTTCAACCCATTAAGAAACATTTAACCTTCCAGTTGTTCACAAACATTCATGGTACAAACCTTTACATCTTTACATCACACAACAGAGTTCAGCAGGTAGAGCACAGTGCAAACACCTTCCTTAAATGTGTGCTTAATTATGAGAATCAGAGTACTTTTTTAATCCCTGGGGGGAAATTGGGTTATGTTGCAGTTGGTCATGTTGTTATATATAGTTTCACAAATATGTGCATTATACTACAATATATAACAAGAATATATATAGAAACAACAACAGTAAATACATTTTAATAATGATGAGAAATGGATCAATGAATAATTTAAAAAAATAACAGTATATATTTTAATTGCAGCATTAATGGCACCAATAACAGCACTTAAATAACTGCACTGTATTTCACCATTACATATGTAGGTGTAGTATAGGTACGAGAAGCAAACTGTTCTAGAAACTGTTGATGTGACTCCATCTTTATTCAGGTGGGAGGCGGGTGTGGGTGTGGGAGGTGTGGGCATCAATATATTTATGAGCGTTAACACATTTCTCCTGTCCAGGGCCGCGGGCTGCTGCTGGGTGTCGAATGTCGAGGGCAAAACAAACTGGACGTCTCATGCAGAGTTGGACCTGGGAACTCGATCTGACTCGCACGCCCTCAACAGCTGTCCCGTAACCACCACCGTGTCCTCTTTACGGTACAAACCTCTTCTTTTCAGACTGACGTTAAAATATTTACATCACATAACAGAATTCAGCAGGTAGAGCAGACCACCTGCACACAGAATCACACAGAGAAACAGCACAGTGACAGACCCAGCAGCACACAATACACTGTGCAGGTAAGGCCTTCAGCATGTGAAGGACTTAACGAATATATTTTATTTGAATGCAGCTTTACCAACTCCCACAGAAACTAAATACTGTACAAGGAAGCTAAAGTTTCACAGTTGTCACAGACAAAAATAAGAGAAGATTTGTTTGTATATGGCTTCATGCATGAGGCCCATTGTCTCAGTATGTGGGATCAGGGATAGTCTCACACAAAGTACTTACATGGCATCATTAAACACGCACAAAGAACTTTAGGAACTTTGCACGCCAAACTGCTCTCACTACAGTCTGTCGCCGCCTTGTCCTGCTGCAGCTCGGAGCTGTTTGACGAGCAATCAGCTGCTGCCACTGTGGTCCGCCACTCTGCCTCCCAAACACACTCAGTAGACGTGACTTACCAAAAATGAAGTTCAGTGAAGTTGAAGTTGTGGGTTTGTTTCTCCATTGTCACTGATCAAAATGTGCCTTAAAGGTGTGTCACAGTTACTGTAAGAGGAATGTCTTGTTGTCAATTATCTTGTCACAGTGAAACATAATGGAAACTGTTAGGTTGGATGGATGAGGTTTTTCTTTTCAGAATGTAATGAAGTATTTGCTGATAACGTCAAAATATGTAAAAAAAAACAACAACAAAAAGAAAGCCAAGATTTTTACAAAATTACCATGTTTTATTTAAAAAATACACTAAATGCATGAAAATTGGTAATAATAATAATAATGTCTGAAATATTAAACTGTGTTTTCATGCAGGGTTCCTCAGAACTGTTTTTCCAGGGTTCAACTCCTGGCACACGATCCAGACGCAGATAAAGTCAAATGCCGCTTTGCTGAAGACGCAACAGTTCCCACAAACTTTACCCTCAATGAGGTAATTCAATCCAAGTGATCAATACCAGTGGCGCCGCCAAGGGGTGGAAACAATTGCCCCCTCACAAGTCACATGTGCATAATATGCTTCCATCTGATATTTTACATTAATTTAAATCCATAATGTATATTTTTTAAATAATAGCTCATGTGAAACAGAACTGCGTCACACTCCAACGCCTCCCAAGGTTTCCCAAGGCTTCTGGTTTTAGATAGATACAACCATAGGCTTTCAGTGCCCCCCCTTCTGGCTGGCACCAGATAGTTAGACAGAAGTCTCGAAAGTTGTGATTAGAAACAGTTGCTGTTGCCTTTATAAGAGTAACATTATAAAGTTACAATATTTCTCCCCACTGTCAAGAGGTTAGCTGCTGCCTCATATCAATAACTATCAAGATCAATATTCAAAGAGACAAAAGCATTTAAATAATCTTCATTTAACTCTCTGTGCACCCCCTCCCCCTTCAGACTACATGCACACTGACAAGTACAGGTGAAATCCCCATTGGTGTCCACGTGTTTGAGCTGATGCTGGAGGACTTTTCCACCAAAAACCTCACTTTGACCTACGCAGATGGAACATCGGCCACTCGGACGGCCTCCGACGGCGCAGCCCCGCTGTGCAAAGTGAAGCTGCAGTTCTCAATGGAGGGTGAGTGACACAAACACATACAATGTACTGTATTTGATAGAATAACACAGCTGGACCCTTTGACCATAAAACAGGAGTTACAAAGGACAAACAAACAAATCTTGCTCCTCTTTACATTGTGTCAAACCTACCTTGCAGTTATGCTACAATATTACTATAATAAAGGTGGTTTTTTTTTTAGGAAAAAAGTCATAAAGTTAGATAATAAAGTTGTAATTTAAGAGAAAATATAACATACATATATTTTAAATTTTGCTCATTTGAAACACATTACAGGGACACTGAAAGTAACCTGTTGTAACAATATTCTGATGTTATTTTCACAACTTTATTCTCATTATATTGTTCCGCCTACTTTACCGCCTCAATATTACATTTTATTCTTAAAATACTGACTTTATAATAATAATGCTTTTTCGCATTTGCAACTATATCCTTTCTCAAAATATTGTGACATCATTGTAAATATCTCTTTATTTTTTTAACAGTGCTTTGTCGTAATACATTTATATTTTATTAACTATCTGTAACGTATTCTGGAGCCTGGAAACAACCCTTTGTGTCTGTGTTTCAGTCCTTTCTGCAATATCAAACTGTGCACCCGGTAACGTGCAGCCCATGTTCTTGTCCAAGACTCCTTCGCATGGCGATATCCTTCATGCCACTGCGGGTCAGAAATTCCAGCTTACTGCTGAAGCACAGGCTTCCCATTCCAGGTATTTACTTCTTAAACTTCTTAACATCAACCTGGCTAAAGACATATCCTGTAATATGAGCATGCAACTGAGAAGACATCATTTCTGGCTGGAAAGAAGATAGTAATAACTTTCATGCCAGTTAAGGATAATTATTTAATGTTTCTGTCTCTGTTTTCCTGAAGTATATACGACTTCCAGGTCAGCGGCCCCCGGAACATGACCAAAGTGTTCAGTGATGGTCAGAACGGAAAAGCTGAAGTCACTCTGAGCTGGACGCCAGACCAAAGCGACCTGTACAGATTCATCCCAGTCTGCTTCACAGCAGAGACAAACGCAACGTGAGTGCTCATATATTCATGTATGAAGACGTGTGTGTTATAATGTCCCGCTTACTGATTTAGCATATCATATATATTGATTTAGCAGATTGTATTTTTCTGTAGCCTTTTTGCACATTCACACTTTCTTTCTTTATGTGTTGTCTCGTGATTTAAGAGGAAAATCTGTTACTTTATTTCTGACTGTAGGTCGATTTAGTTTGCAGTTTAAGACAAGGCTTTCCTCTCTGCACATATTTTACAAACAACTCGGACAATAAACATCAACGATAACAAAAAACAGTAATAAATAACCACTAGAATAAAGAAGGTTAAAAAGCAGGTTAAGAAAATCTGTGCCATGTTGCTAGAACTTTAAGCTATTTGTATACCCCTTGTGCAAAGGGTAGGTTCGTATTTAAACTACACTGTGAAAAAGAAATAAAAATGTTATTTTTACGGTAAAAAACTGTCTGCTGTGGTTGCCAGTATTTTACCCTAATAATACGGTAATTACTATTACAGTAAACAGATATTAGTGCTGTTGTTTTTATGGTTAAAGTTGGAGTTTTATTCCATCTTTTACTGTATGAATACAAGTTTTTACCATCAAAAGAAACCACATGAAAATATCACATGAATAAACAAGTTTTTGCCAAGAGATATGACGGCGTTTTACTGTTACAGAAACTGTATTTAGAGTTTACAGATTTTTAACAGTCACGGTTTGACAGTGGATTGTTTTTTTTATAAGTATGTGTGAGAAGCAGTTATTATTTTATAATTTATGACTGCATCAGGTGTTATCATTGTGACATTATCATTACATTTGCTGATGTTGTTGTTTTTGCATTTGGCACTGAAACCTGTTTTCTTTGTTTTGTCATTCAGCCAATCAGAAATGAGGTGTGTTGTTGTCATGGTGATCCAAGCATCTATCATTCAAGGTTTGTTAATCATCTGTTAAAGAAGAAAATCAATGAACTATTACAGAAAGTGTTAAAAACTCTACTCCCTGCTTGTCATAATAGTAATAAGGGACTACTTATGAACTATTTAGTGTGTTTAAGGGGGCAGAAAAAGAGTAATTAAGTAATTATTTGTTAATAGTTTTGTGCCGATCAGCAGCTGATTCAGTTATAATATGTAACATTTCAGCTTTAAAATGTCAATAGAGCTACATTGTGTTATTTTGTTGATTCGTGTATTTAAATGAAGCCAAATGTTTCCAACTATGTTCAAACTCACAGAAATCTGTAATTTACGTCAGAAAGTGAGGAAGGAAGTTGGTGAATAAAACTTAATACGTTACCTCGTCGATAGATTTTCTTCAGCAATGGTGGTTGAAGACAGCAACTCTCATGACCACACATTTTTTCACTGTTGTTGTTTTGACAAAAACGAGGAAGTTAATATGATTTAATATGAAATGTGATTTACAGGCAAGGCCAATGTTAAATGCTCACCCAACAAGATGGAGGTGGCCATCGACAAATCCTCCATGCCTGACATCGACGAGAACTTTCTCAAGCTGAGAGACCCGTCGTGCTCTTTCACCTCCAACGGGACTCACATCATGGCCTCCATGTCATTCAGCACCTGCGGGACCAAAGCTGAGGTGTGGAAAAACATTTACATCATTACCCAAATCAGAGCGCTTTTTAGCCGATCAGGTAACAGCGGTAATAGTGGAAATTACAGGACAATGAGAGGAATACTCGAAAAGCATGAACTGCTCATTTTCTCCTCAGCCACTAATGTGTTTTCTATCACTTTTATTTTTTCTGAAATACAGGATAAAGGTGACTTTCTTGTTTTCAAGAATGAGATCAACTCCTTCGAGCTGGCCAGTGAGATTATAGTCCGAAGGAAGACTGTTAAGATCGATTTCTCTTGCCAGTTTCCCAAAACCATCAGCATCTCCAGTTACTACAATCTCCACAAGTCTGACTACATTTTCACCGAGTCCAGCTTCGGCAGCTTCGGCTACACTTTCGAGATCTTCCGCGATGGCAACTTCACAAATAAGGTGGAGGCCAGCGCCTATCCAGTGGAGGTCAAGCTGTTGGAAAAAGTTTATATGGGCATTCAAGCTGAATCGGAGTTACCAAACGTGACTTTGTTTGTTGAATCATGCAAAGCAACTCCTGATGACAACCCTGACAACACACTCTACTATGACCTCATCAAGAACGGGTGAGAGCTGATGATTTCTGGGATGACACACAAAAATGCTTCTGCCTTTTAACATGAAAATGTTTAAATTCAGTAATCTCTGGGAATATAATAACAATAATCTCTACAATATCTGTCACAATTTATTTTCCCCCAGGTGTCTGCAGGATGAGACAGTTAAGGTGTACCCGTCTAACCAAACTGTATTCAACTTTGAGGTCCAAGCCTTCAAATTTACTGGAAACTATGATCAGGTAATAATAATTAATGTTAAAGGTTATATATGTGAAACAGCATCTCAGACCACAACAATGGGTGGTAAAGCTGAGTAGACTCAACTAACAAAACCAGTAAAACACACTTAAATAATAAAAAAAACTCACCAGATTGTCTTTCCAACAATCACCAACTGGGTGGAAATAAATCCTTAGAGAGGATCGAACAGCAAAGAGTGAGTGAACACTCTGTCACAGGCCATGATACATTATAACATGTCAGAACAAAAAAGATCAGACCTTCCTGATATCACCAAAGACAAGATCAAAAACAGCCTGGTAAATTACATTTCCTCCCCTGAACTAAAACCTGTCCCGTTACAGGTGTACATCACCTGCTCCGTCATCCTGTGTGAGCCTGGCAGTTCCTTTTCCAGATGTGCTCAGGGTTGCCTGACGGATGCATCCCGCAGACGACGCAAGCGAGAGCTGACCAAGGAGACCGACAGCCACTACATCATCCAGGGTCCTTTGCGGTTTGTGGGGCAGGGTGTTCCCAGCGCAGCGGTGGATGATAACTTCAACAACGTTGTGATGGAGAAGATTGAAAAGATAGAAACACCCATTACAACAGGTTCATATCTATCTATCCATCCATCTGTCTGTCTGTCTGTCTGTCTGTCTGTCTGTCTATCCATCTATCTATTCTAACTGCTGTACGGTTGTCTTTCAGCGATTCCTCCACCAGCTTCCTCAGACACCAAATCGAGCGGAGGAGGTGGGGTAATCAGGGAGATCCTCAACACCAACACCAGCACCTTGATCTTCGCCAGCGCCTTCATAGTGTCCCTGGTGGTGATGGCTGTGATGGTTGCTTACTTCACCAGGAAGAGAAAAGCAGAAGACCGCAAGCTTCTTATTTCAGACTGGGAGAATTAAAGCCAACTAATCCCAGACTGAGGCATCTCCGCCACATCATGTTATTTGTTTATTTTATTAAAGGATAGGTTCACATTTTTTTCTGTATGACATGGAAATTGTGCTTGCAGTAATTATTGCCCCTGTTCATTCTGGCCGTTAAAATAGAAATCTTAATAGACGAGATATGGGGGAAACATCCTAAATCCTCCCTCTGTGCAAAAATATATTCCAAACTGTGTCAGGCTGGAAATTTAGACACTAGTTTCCCAGTTATGGAAACACATAGAAATGTATTAAAATGACCAAATATCCTGGAAATAATTAGAGTGCATATTTAGTTTGAAACTCAGCCTATTGTTGTAAAAGACTTCTAAAAGATGAATTTACTGCAAAATAAAATGAATTCTATTTGATTTGAACTGGTACTTATGGGCTGTACCCAAGTTAATGTTACAGTTAGCAGGAAGCTATAGTCAACTGTAAACTGAATCAGTTTGACGCAGCAGAACACTTTGCTGTTGTGAGAACAGAACAGAAAAATTAGGAACCTATCCTTTACAGAGCTTCTCTTTAAAATGATGGGGTGTCCTGGTGGGCGAGTGGTCTCACATGTAATGCATGATGACGTAATTTTTGTGAAGAGTTGCATGTTGTCACTTAATTATCCTTTAACTGGTTTCCTGTCTATACTGTCTACTGTTGAATGAAGGCACAGGTCACAAAATCTAATCTTAAAAAACAAAAGTATATAGTTGCACTGAAGAAAAGCTGATGAATGCTTTTCTGTAATTGGCTTTGGTTTCTATTTATGGTTGTTTGTCCCATCTGAACCCCACCCACAGCCTCACTGAACCAGTTTTTTTTTCAGGCCAGTTGTAAAAGCATGTGCATATTTCTGCTGCCATGAAAACAAAATTCCACTCTGTCTGGTTTTGCAGGATTTTTTCGATTGCCACTGTCACTGTCAAGGCTGTGTCAACATTTTGCAAACAGGTTCCCAATAATTATCTTCCGATGTTCAAGGTTTGTTTGGTTAAGTGACGTGTAAACTTGAATGTGCAATTTTATTTTGTATTTTTGCATTTGGCTCATGATTTTAGACCTTATAAAATACAGATTTATTCATATATATATATATTTAACTGAAGAGTTAGACTTATTTATTCATTTTATTTTGTAGAGGCCTGTCTAAAATTTACAACCATTACTGATGTAAACAAACATTCAATGTGACCAACAGATTTAGTTATTGTCCATTTATTTAAACAGTTAAACTATTTGGGAGTGATAACAACGTCACATGCTGTGTGTTAAAATGTGTTGCCCTTTTGTCTACATTTAGATCAAGAATTTGCCTTTTTCAGAGTAGTCCAGTATTTTACATATGTTCCAGTTCTGGTGAGCAATATCTAATGGTGAAATAGTATATTTGTGTAATTTAAATGGGATTTGATTTACAATACAAGGGAAAATATGCATTATATTGATATATTTAATCACATAATAAACACGTCTCTGTGCGGGTGTTTGTGGTTTGTTGTTGTGTGATCAGTCAATCATTATCTGGGGCTGAGGTTTTGAAAAGGGGAATCCCAGCTCAGATTATCAGGCACTGATTACAGATTCAATCTGAACTACCTGACCCACAATCTTCAGAGATCAGGAGGAATCCGATTTCACTTCAGGAGAAGAAACTGCCAACAACAGATAAGAGCTGAGGTTCAGACGATATCAAAATGAGAAGAAAAAGAAGCTACGGTCGGGTTTGTCTGTGAGGTCAGTGAAGTCTGGTGGAAAGTTAGGACATAATCCAAGAAGTCCTTACCTTTGCGTACAGATTAGTGCCACCATGTGGCCATTTCCAAAACACTAGCTCATTAGTGTATGAGCAGAAACACAAAGGCACATGCCATTTCCGCCTATTTAATGCCATTTTGATCCAATTTGGTAACATTAGAGCACAAAACAGCAATTCTTTTTTTTCGTCACCGTAAAGTTGTCATGAACGGGGAATCTAGCTACAGAGACCCAAATCGTTTTTTGTACCAGGCTGTAAACATGTTTATTTCTGCTGTACATTTGGGCATTACTAGTGCAGTGCCCGTAGGAAGTATGTATTGCTATAGAAAAGTGGGGGGGGGTAAGTAGCTTTTTCATGGATGGCCAAATGAGGTTGTGTTTGAAGGTGGGACGTCAGGGACATTTAGGACATATTATTTAGTCCTGTAATATAGGCCAGCATACATCAGAGAGAGAGAGAGAGAGAGAGAGAGAGAGAGAGAGAGAGAGATTCGGGGATCCAGCGCCAATTCTCCGCACCCTCCTCTGTGTGAAAGTTTCAGATGCGGCGAGGGGGGATATGTCGCTCCGTCCCTCCTCGCCGCATTATTTTTGAACCGCCTCCAGTGTGAACGGATAAGCGGACGGCGCGGAGCGAGGGTGTGTCGGTCAGACAGTCTGATAACTGCACAGGTCTCTCACTCAACTTAATACAGAGAAATGTCCCACAAAGCAACGTTACAGGACCAAACAACAGTAACGTAGTAACTGTAACTGTCTTTGGAAACTTATGAGGAAAGAAAATACCACAGCTGTACGTGGAGAAGCGTCTGTCCTCCTGTCTGTCCTCCTGTCTGTCCTCCTGTCTGTCCTACCGACTCTTCGTCACATTTCTGCCCGAAAAACAGTGTCTGTCACCGGTGAAAAACTCACAGTGTTTGTGATCAAAAATCAAAAATCACCACGACCACCAGCCCTCCAGACCGAGACATCAGTTTACTTTCACTTTCCAGGATGTTTGGGCTCTGCAGTGATTGGCTCTGGTGGGCACGTGGCTACGGTGGATGTCGTTGACAATGCTAGCGGAATTCGGAAATTTAATTTATAAAATAATTTATTAAATAATAACTTATTAACGGCATCTTTATAGTCCAAAACAAACCTGACGTTGCACACCCTTAAACCACACAGCAGCCATGTTGAAACTCTCAGGTCAGTCTGATCCTGATCTGCAGAGATATTTGAGCCACACACACACACACACACACACACACACACACACACACACACACACACACAGAAAGACAGAGATTTCTGCTTTATAGATAGATAGATAGATAGATAGATAGATAGATAGATGAGGTTGACTCACTTCTGTTTCCAGCCTCTAGTGGCCGTTAGAGGAACTGCAGTTTTTATTGGCACTACAGGAGTTGTAAAATATTATGGCATTTTACCTCCAGGTGGCACTACAGCAACACGACACATTTAAACAGAGCTCGGAGTCATTAGTCTTAGAACATGTTGCTCAGTTCATACTTGTGCAAAGTCCCAATAATTCCTGATTTAAATGTTTTACATTTCATGGCACCTGTGTCCCAATCGCCATGATATACAGTATATGTATTTAGCTGCAAATCCAGATCAAATAACTGATCAGTTTCTATGGTTAAAGCTCTACTAATCAGTATAAAAATTAATCAAATGACTGCATATAATGTTATGGTCAAAGTGATGGTTGGAGGAGAGCAGAGCTAAAAGTAGAGTGAATATTGGATCCATGGACCAGGTGAACCAGTTTGGTTATTAGTTTACAAGCTGTGGATTTCTTCTGAGCCCCAAAGGCCCAAAACAGAGCAAAGTAAAACTATTGCACCTTTAAACTAAATGTAAAGGATTATCTGTGCAGCCTTCTACGTGCTTAAGTTATATTTGTAAAATGTTCTGTAATAAGTGTAAAATAAACCTATTTATGAATAATGACAACCTCAAGTGTTTTTATTACTCTTTAGGCATGAACATTTATTGATTTTCTTTTTTTTTTAAATGCATTTTTCAAGGAGTTTTCAACAGTATATTAAAAACCGGAGTTACATGTGTCAATACTTCAGACTACAGACTACTACAGACTCCTAAACTCCTGGAGTCCTGTAGTAACAGGACAGGACGGCAACACAAAGAGACTACACAATTGATGAAATTATATATTATGTAGGTATATATACATGTACATATGTGTAGTGTATTTGTGTGCTTTTGTTTATTGTTATTGTTCAATGCAATACCATTGAATATATATATGTTTAATAAATAAATATTAATACGCTGTTACTCACATCATTACTCACAGCACAGTGTTTTTCTTTTAATGTTACAATATATTATTGTGTATCTGTGGTAGTGTCATCAGTGATGAAATATGTTGAATGTGCCCTGCTTCCCTTTATGTCAATCATCTGACACCTAAGGAGAAACACCTGCAAAATCCATTGCCAAAGGTTATACTTTCTGCTGAGAAAATGATCCACCATGAGACAAATGACTGCTCAGTCACCCTGTTGGGGCCTGGATAATGTGTTTAATGTTTGTCTTTATTTGTTGCTACAGTTTGAGGTAGATAATTTATAGCAAGGACATCATTGCGATTTCTGTAACTACAGTAATTAATGACAACTTACTCTTTAATTTATGAGCCAAATGTATTTAAAGTGGTATAAATAAGCAAAGTATAAACACCCTAAAACTACTGCTGCATATTGTCACTTCTGCTACTTGACTTCATGGAGTAATTAAATATTTCATTATGAAATTAAAATTTTGCAATCATTACAGGTGAGGCAACCACATAATTATGTATTTTGAGAGAAGTATTCCTTGCTCCATTCACGCATGAAAATAGGACAACAACAATCTGATGCCTTCCCCATCCTAGGAAAAACATTGAACTTACACTCCTGAATGATGTGCTTAAGAGGGCATTTAGAAGAGGGTATACCCAATGCTCACTGAAAAATAACTCTGTACTACCTGCCAGAAACTAACGTTGCAGATGCAGCTTTGGCTGTACGTCAGAAAGTATCAAAAAGAAAGAGAGAAACATGTTAATAGTTGATTATTGAGTCTCATTTCTATGGTCACAAAGTGTCTGTATTTGACGGCCTGCGAATGAGACTGAACAATTAACTATCTTCGTTGGGGCTCGGTGGATTCCTGTAAATGCCATTCGGAGCACTATAGTTGGAGGAACCTGATTTTCACACAGATTATCTGTCTGTGTTTATATAGATATATATCTGTACATTGAAGTTTATGTTTGTTTTGTTGAGCTTCTTGTCCTGTTTATTTATTCTGTGTTTGTACAGTGAGAGCAACGTAACTCTGGAGTAAAATTCCTTGTATGTGTGCACATATCTGACCCATCAAAGTGATTCTGAAAACTTTGGGACCTGTTTTGCTAACGTTAGCTAAGTGATCTGAAGACTGTGTTTGGTCCATGTATGTCTCCTACATATACAGTAAATGTTATTTACATGCATGTCACCTCACTAGCACTGGACTCGTGGGAGAAACTGCAGTTTTGTCTTGAAGGCATTTCTCAACTCATCCAGGAGAGTTCATCAGTTCTCTGGTGAGTTCAATGTCATTAAAGTGACTCAGCTTCAAAATATGAAATCAAAAAAATAAATAACAATGGATCACAATGATGATTTTGAGCATGTTGTTTTCCTGCCCCAGATACTGAACCCCGGTGTGCCTGGTGCATCTGTGTGTGAATGTGTGCCACTGAATTAGTTTCTGTTTCTGATGAGCTGCTACCATCAGTCTATGAAGTGTGTGGGAATGTGCCGTGCATGTAAAGTGCTATCAGTGGTTGGAAGACTAAAATATGTGCAGTCTATTTACTTTGCACAAAATATTGACTGTATTTTTTTGAATTGATGTGATATATTTATTGATATTTAACAGAAGTGGAGGAAGATCATTTATGAAGAGGCACATTGTCTGTTGACTGAACAGTGTGATGACCCCTCCCACTCTGGTGGCTATAAGATTGGCTACACCTGATTCCCCTCTGATTACAAGGCTTCAAAGGGGGTTGATCAGTTAGTTATCTCTCTCTCCTTCCAGCCAGCAGGTCCTGGGTTTGATTCTGTCTTTGCTTTGATAAATCCCACTTCACTTTACCCACACACACACACACACTACTGACAACACTGATGTACATATATTTTTTATACTTTGTTTATTGTGAATATTGGTTAATTAAATTGTTGCCTTAAACACTGTAATTATCTGTGTGGTCTCTCTTGTTTTGTACGAACTGTGAGCAGGTTCATGACAACAGGCATTACTTGATCATCATTTTCCCGCAATGTGACTCCATGCACATTTTGGGCCACATTACATGTGATTTGCATTTTGATATTGTGACACACTCCTAGTGTCACTGATTGTGTACTTTTTCACCCTCTGCATCTCAAGAAGCACCTCTCAGTGCCATAATAAAGAAGCATCAGACAAACAATGACAGTGGGACAAACATCTACAATATCTGAAATCTAAAATATCTTTTCCTTCAGTGCTTGACTTTAATCTAAATTCCTCCTCCTTCATCAAAATACAGTTCAAACAGAAAACAACATCTCATTTCCTCATTGACCTGCCCATATTTTGTCTCCTGATTAACAATGAACTGCACCGCCTTCTCTCAAACACGAGCTGTTTCCCAGAACCAAACATTTTCC